ATGCAAAAAAAAAAAAATGAGCTGTCAGAGATATAACACATTTCTAGTATATTCAGTTACTCTTAATTTGTACACAAATATCTTCTATTCTGGTTGCTAATAAAGGGCTACCCAAGTAAAGAAGGATAATGTTTGACACAGACAATGGACTTGTTAGGATGTGTTCAGTGCATAAACACTTATGAGCTTTTATTCCAGTTTTCCTCTTTATGTTAGGCAGACAGCTCTCATCTCCTGTGCTTCATGGAAGTATGCTGCTGTGATTAAAATACCTGAGATCATGAAGCCCTTGCCCCAAGGCTTAAGCTAATAACATTGGTGTGTTGATTTTTTATATTGACATAGACCCATGATGGTATCTGAGACCCTAACCTCAGCAGTGATTCAACTGCCTGGTCATTAAGTCCATCTGAAGCTCCCATTCTGAAGGATACCCTGTAGATAAGGGGGCATATGTCATTTTTAGAGAATAACCTGTGCTGCGTAAACTTCCAAATGGTGGGAGAGGGGATAACAATGGCCCGAAAAGCCAACGATATGTCTACATTATTATCAGACAAGATTTCAACCATTGGTTAGAGCAGTAGTTACTTGTAGTGGGGAGGGAGAATGACACAGAACAGCAACTGGTAGGATTAAGGTTTTCTTTGCTTTCATGAGCCATGAAACTTTGAGGCTAAAATGGCTTTAAATTATCTAGTCTAGCCTTTAGAAGAATGTACAGATAGAACATACCGAATAAAATCATAGTCATGGAATTAGGGGAGATTTTTATTTATTTTTATTTAACTTAGATGATGTTTTTAATGGGTCTAAAGTGTTCTGAGCCCATTAGAAATATTAACTCTTTAATCCTAATAACAACCCTATAGGGTAGATGCTAATAGTATCTTCATTTAAGGACAGGGAAACCAAGATACAAAGAGTTAAGTAACTGGCCGGGAGTCACTGAGCCAGCCAGTGGTGGAGCCAAGCTTTGAATGCGTCCTGTCTAATTTGTCCATTTTGTAGATGAAGAAACAGGGCTGAGTGTCTGTCCAGGCTACCTAGCTTGTTGGTGGCAGAGCAGGGCCAGAACCCAGGCCATCTCTTTGTTGCAATCCAATGACTAGGCACAGTGCATTGTTCTTGGATCATATAAACAAGACAGGAAAATAATACCAGCAGTTTCTCTTCTAATCAACTTCCACAAAATACCATTAAGACATGAGCATTGGTGTCAAGAATTCTCTCGTCACTGGTTGAGCTTTGGAATGTGTTCTGTGGCATGTAACATGTCTTCTCAGATATCAAGGAGGGACTTGGGTGGGTTAGAGGTGGCTTGGGAACTGGGAAGTAGGGATGAAAAAGTGTACAAAACTCTGCTGATGGATAAGAGTTTCTTGTTTGTTGGCTTATTTATTTAGATTTTCTTGGCTCCACTGGTATCTTTATATTCCCACCAGCAGTCAGTTAAGTTTTATAGGCTAGAGGCTCTCAGAGGTTAGACCTCCAAGTTCATGGATTGTCCTGCCAAGTTTCTTGCTTTTCCAGTTTGTGGCTGAGATGCTAACTATAGGATGTATTTCCTATTGATCTAGAGGCCTTGGTTTTTACCTTTTCATTTCTTCTTCTTGACACAGTCTACTTGAATCTCAATTTACTTTCTTGAGGTATGTGTCCTTGGGTAGGAAGAAGACATTTAATTTTTCCAGAGGAAAATTATGTACTGGTGTACATAATTAAGCATCAAGGAATATACAGGAGACAGTAACTTAGTCTCTTTTTTTTTAACTGGAAATATAACTGACATATAACATTATATTAATTTTTGATGTACAAAATAATGATTTGATACCTGTTTATATTGTGAAGTGTTCACTACAATAAATCTAGTTAGCATCCATCACCACATATAGCTGCAGATTTTTCTCTTTTGATGAGAACTTCTAAGATTTCTTCTCTTAGCAACTTTCAAATATATAATACAATATTATTAACTGGTCACCATGCTGTACATTATATCCATGAAATTTATTTTTTAACCAGAAATTTGTACCCTTTAATCCCTTTCACCTACTTTGCCCACCTCTTTCCCCCAACTCTGGCAACAGCCAATCTGTTCTCTGTATCTATAAATTTGGATTTTTTTTTAGATTCCACATATCAGTGGGATCATACAGTAATTGTCTTTCTCTGTCTTATTTCACTTAGCATAATGCCCTCAAGGTCCATAAATGGTGTGATTTCCTTCCTTTCTTGGCTGAATAATATGCCATTGTATATACATAGACTGTATTTTCTTTGTCCATTCACCCACTGATGGACACTTAGTTTGCATCTCTGTCTTAGCTGTTGTAAATACCACTGAGGTGAACATGGGGGTGCGCATATCTCTTCAAGGTAATGTTTTCATTTCCTTTGGATAAGTACTGAGAAGTGGAATTACTGGATCATATGGTACTCTTATGTTTAATGTTTTGAGGAACCGCTGTACTATTTTCCATAGTGGCTGCATCAATTTTTAATCCCACCAACAGTGCACAGGGTTCCCTTTTCTCCACATCCTCACCAACATTCATTATTCTTGTCTTTTTGATAATAGCCCTTCTAACAGGTGTGAGGTGATGTCCTGTTGTGGTTTGGATGTGCTTTTCCCTGATGATTAAGGATGCTGAGCACCTTTCCACGTACCTGTTGACCATCTATGTGTCTTCTTTGGAAAAATGTCTATTCAGATCCTCTGCAAATATTTTAACTGAATTTTTAAATTGTTTCATTGTTTAATTGCTATTGCGTTATATGAGATCTTTATATATTTTGGATATTAACCAAATATATAATTTATATTTATCAAATTTATATTTGTCAAAATAATCATCAAAAACAAGAGAGTGTTTCCATCTCTTGAATTCTCTACTATGTGGACTGTGGTTGAATGACCCTAATTGTTTATACAGAATACACTTGAAACAACAAAATTGAGAATACTCTTGATGTTTAATTTGTACTTTGTAATTTGTACTTTGGCTATTAATTTGTACAGAATGCACCAAAGTAGAGCCAGATGACAATGAGAGAAGGAACAGTCAAAGCTTGCATTTGTGAATTTCAAAGCCAGGCTCTGATTTGCCTTGGCACAGAAAACTTGCACAGTCGTCTGTCTTGCGTAGTAACACAAGGCACAGTTAATGTGATTGGGCCTCTAGTTCTGCTGACACAATATGTGCTGATAAGTTTTGGAGTCTTGGGTTTACTAGAGCCATGTAGTATCACAAGGGTCTGGTGAGTGAAAAGTTTCTGCAGCTTATCAAAAGAAAGACAACAGAAAGGCCCTGGTTCTACCGCCAGTCCTCGGGAGATATTTATCACCCAGGCTTCTGAGAACCAGAGTTTGACCCATACCAAACACTGCAGAAATAATGTCAACATACCCAGGACCACAGCCAGCAAGGAATTCCCTGAGATAAGATTACAACTTTGTCCTTAAAGGGACTCCAACCAAATCTGTTGATCCTCAAGTATTCCCTGAGCAGAACAACTCCCTAAGTTATCCTTCATACCAAGGGACTTTAGGAGTTTAATTTTTGTGCTTCTAGATGCAAATATTCTGCTGTTATTTTCCAAAGTATGCACAAAAACTCTAGCAGTATCTAAGAAAGTCCCCGTAGGATCAAGAACCTGAGCTTTGTGCTCTCAAGTTCAGCCAGCTGTAGAAGCTGTACACTATTCTTTATTGGCAAAAGTATCCCTTGACCGTCTTTCAGGATTTTGTTTCTTCTCTATTGGCTATGCCTATGCCAGCAGACTTCTAAAGCCAGATTAGACCTCTAGTCTAGGTCTAGGATGAAATTGTTATTGGAAAAGATGGTCAGTCTTTGAGATGAATTGGTATAAAAAACTAGTGCAATAATTTGTTTAAATACCTAGTCATGTGTTTTAAATATCAGTATGCAAACTCCATTAGGCACTGGAGCAATGGGGCCCATCAGGGGTCAAGGTAAAGCAGGCCAGGTATTCTCCCAAGACTATTTTGGTAATGAGAAGAAGGTACATACAGAGAGATAACTCACCTTTGATTTGTCATCCAGGCACAAACTTCTTTTTTGAAATGCCTCGCATTCATTCCTTTGTACTCCCTGTACGCAACACTACTGCGGCCTTCTGGATTCTAACCTCTCCTGTTCCTTCCTAGGCCTGTGCTGTATGTAGTTATCAGATTAATTAAAAAACAAACAAAAACAAAACTCTTTCTATCATGTCATTTTCCAGTAAAGTCTCACAACAAAGTTAATACTCCTAACCAGTTTCTCCTTCTCCATTAAATATGTCATTCAAAGGCTCTACCATGGATTGCGTTATTTTTAATTTTCCTGCCTTTGAGCTTTCATTCCTGCTGCCTCCCCCTTTGAAATTCCTTCTCCCCTTCTCTTCTTCTCAGACACACCTCTTCCATTAAGCCTATTCACACTAATCCTGTCTGCACTGATATGACCTCTTCTGAACTCTGCTTACTTATCGTCTGGAGTCCATACCAGCCTTTTAGCAATTAATCACATACTGCTTTATGAAATTATCTTTATTTTGTGTGCTCTGTCTTTCTGTTTCACTCTTTCTCTGTTTGCTTCTGTGTATGTACATGTTTGTGTAACTAGATAAGGAGGTCTATAAAAATAATGCTCATGTCATATATGTATATATTTAGAATATACTACCTATTAGGTGCTCCATGACATTGTTACTGGTTGGCAATTCTTGCTTAGGGTCTGATTTTTTTTTTTCCTTAAAGGCAAGAGTCTGTCGGCTGTCCACTCCTATATGCACACCACCTGGAATGGTGCTTTGCACATTAAATTACAGGTTAGAAACCTTCTAGAGAGGGTTTCTGTGGCCGAGGTCTGCAGCTGGCCTAGACATTCTGCCATGTGTCCTAGCTCTCTGAGGATGGAGCTGTCTTACTCCGGGGCTGGCAGCCTGCCTTCACAGCCTCTGACATGACTATCTGTCTGTCTTCCTCCTAGATGCATACTCTCATTCCTCAAGTGAAAATGGAGGCAAATCCGAGTCAGTGGCCAACCTGCAGGCTCAGCCCTCTCTGAACTCCATCCACAGCTCCCCTGGTCCCAAGCGTTCCACCAACACCCTTAAGAAGTGGCTGACAAGTCCTGTACGCCGGCTCAACAGCGGGAAAGCAGATGGAAACATCAAGAAACAGAAGAAAGTACGGGATGGTCGGAAGAGCTTCGACCTGGGATCTCCCAAGCCTGGAGATGAGACAGCCCCTCAGGGAGACAGTGCTGATGAGGTACTTAACACGGGGCCTGGGGCCTCCAGCAGGAGGGGGTCTCTGACTTCCATCCCTCCTGCAGCCTGTGAGGCATCAACCTGCGGGTTTTGTAAACTAGTCCATCTCTAGGCCTCCGTCATTGTCTTCCTGAGCCAAGTGATTGGAGCTCTTGTGTTAACAAGACCTCACCAGTTTGATTTGCCACCAACTCAGAGACTGACTAGCCCCTACAATATCCAGCAGACAGACAACATTCTGCCAGATTTGGAGACAGGGGCTGGGCCCAAGGGGAGCCATTAGGTCACAGTGGTCTACAGGACTACATCAAAACCTGCTGGGTCCATTTAGAATGAGAATTAAAGAATGTAGACCATTTCACTTGGAAAACAGAAGACTGTGCTCGGAGACTATAGCTGTTTTTTCAAGTCTCTTTGTGTAGTGCCATGTATAAAAGGGGGCAGACAACTCCAAGCTGCCCTGAAGGGGAGAACTATGATTGACAGGTGAAGGTTTACAGAGGGCAAGGTTTCAGCTCAAAGAGGGACTTTAGTACGAGGTGGGGGAGGTCATCCAGTGATGAATGAGCTGTCACGAAAGCAAGTAGATACCCATCCTGGCCGAGCTTGGGTAAACATGTGACCTCACATAACAGGGAGCCCTGTGTAAGCTGAGAGGTCAGACTGCACAGCCTCTGAAGCCCCTTCCAAAGCTGGGATTCTGTAATCAAAGTCTCGGGGGTCTGGTATAGCTGGGGAAATGAGACAACCGTATTATCTGGCAAGCTAGCCTCCTATAGTCACTGATATGGCTAAGAAATTCTTCCTGATGTGGGACCAGACTCTCCTTGTAATTCTCCACCCTCAGGAAATGGCAGCAGAGCCTGGTGATGCTCGATGGTGGGTTAATGGTCCTTCCAAAACATAAGCGGTCAGGTTGTCTCTGACCAGTCTTAAGCTTTCTCTTTTCCTGGCTGATCAGTGAAGTAGGTGTTTCTCGTGTGGGTGTTTACCCCCACTCAGTCCACACTGTCCTATGAGACAGAAGGGTGCATCCATTCTGCAGAGGAGAACACTGAGGCTGGAAACTTAGGGGCGTGTGAAGAGGGAAGGTATCTCATACGCAGTTTTTAAAAAAACTCTAAGGCCTGAACCATTGGTGTCATTAGCCATATGAAGCAGTGACTAATGCTGTTCTTTTGCTCTAGAAGAGCAAGAAAGGTTGGGGTGAAGACGAGCCAGACGAGGAGTCACACACACCCCTGCCTCCGCCCATGAAGATCTTTGACAACGACCCTGCGCAGGACGAGATGGTAGGACTTATTTCCCCCTGGAGGAGCAATGTGTTTTACCTGTGACTTCGGTCTGTGTGTGGCGGGGCTGGTAATACTCTCTCCCTTGTTACCGTGCACCATGTGAATATGGGGGTGCAGATCCCATCTGTATTAGGTAGGGCTCACCTCCCCCAACCCTGAGGGCTGCTTTCATTGTGGCCAGTGCAGAGGTATGTGTGGAATTCTCAGAGTGGAAACCTGCCTGGTGTCTTGTCCTGTTATGAGGGGGAATAGCTGTCTTTGGAAGCCACAGATCCTAAAAGGAACTGTTTGTCTCAAAGAGGAATCTGAGTAGTTTCAGGTTATGATCATTTTGTCGTGCCAGACTTTTTGACCTTTCTTTTAGTTGGTTGTTTTCCCTATATTCAACCTAATAATGGTAACTTCTAGTCAACCCCCATGCTGTTAAAATTCTGCAAACACAGCATGAGGGACAGAGAGATGTTGCAAAGGGGAGGTTGCTGTCGAAGGTGGGAAAACATAATATGCCAGCTTGCCACATTCTTTGTTTTGCAAAATTCCCTGACTCACGGCATGCAGAGGCTCACTGGTATCTTAAGGGTGGATGTCCACCAGGCCTCCACTCGCACAGTGGGCATCCCGATTGTTCTAAAGCAGAGGCTCAGCTCGGATGGGCTTCCAGGTAGTAACCTGAGACTCATGGATGCTTTAACTGTGCTCTGTCAGTTACTTTCCTTATGAACCATGCTTCCCCTTCATTGTGTTTTTCCCTTCTCTTAGTGTTACTGTCCTGTTGCACTCCAGAAGTCGAAATGGTGGTTTTTGTTTTTTATTGCACTTTGCCATCGCTTTTCAGAATGCCCCCTTTTGTTGTGGTAGTGGTGGTGGCAGCTTAGCCTGTCCCTCCAGAGTCTCCTCGAGCTCTGTTTTGCGGTGATACAGCCCCTCTGAGGTGATGGGCCCAGCATGCATAGGCAGGGGACAAACCTTCACAGTACCTAGGATACAGCCCATAAAGTACTGTTTGCAGTCCTTCAGCATTTCTGGAGACATCCCAGTTCTTGTTTTAATTCTGTCTGCTTTGCATTTGGATCATTAACGGGCAGACATTAGCTGAGATCTTTCTGTGTTCCAAGTTAGGGGGGCAGATTCTGGGCACGGGATGATGGCTAAGATGTGGCTGCTGCCCAGCTCTTTGACATGCACCCGTGAGAAGTCTCAGCCCCTCCTAAGGAGATGCTGGTGGCCTTGCGCTCTGTTGGGAAGAAAAGTAGAATGAGTGGCAGGATGCACATCCTGGATGCCCAGGGGCAGGAAGGCCTGTGCTTCCATTGAGATGGGAGTGAGCACCAGCCTGCTGGGTTCCCAGAGACCCACCCATGTAAAATGTTCTACGAACAGTGATAGTGTATATGGGGAGTAGGGTGCTCGGGTCACATTCTCTGCCGTCCCACACAGTCCTGCACATGGAGGTGCCAGCTTGCATAAAATAAGTGAAGGTCACGAACCCTCCCCCTTGGATTCCCTCAAACACAGCTTGTTTGGGGGAAAAGGATGTTATGTTGTTTCTGGATAATTTTTAACTGAGAATGGGAACCTACTCCAGATATTTGTGCAGCTTTTCTATGAGCCAGAAATAGGGCAGGTGGCAACAGTCTCTTTGTAGACACATTAACCCTTCTCAGTCCTGCTTCTTTGACTTCTGTACATTTCTTTTTCTGGGATATTTGGTGAGCCTCAGAATTTCTAGCAAATGGAGTTGAAGGCATTAAAATGATTTTTACAACAGTGTAAAAGGAATTTTTAAAAGTCTACTCACTGTAATGTGTGATTACTTTAATTCCCTATGTTACCTTCTAATATTGTTTATATGCATGTGTGTTTCTTTTTTATAATTAAAATATGCATATGATATGTTTGATGTTTTATTTAACATCTCCTAAAATCTTACTAATTTTGCGTTCATGACTATAATTTTAATAGCTGGGGAGTATTTCACTTATTTGATGTAAGATCATTTGCTTGGCCAGCCTGTTTTGGGATATCCTAGGTTGTTTCCGTTTTTTGCTCCTCTAGGTAACGCTGCTACAAATCACTTTGTCTGTACAGCACTTGTTCTTGACTTCTGACCTTGAAATAAGTTTGTAGGGGTAGGATTACTGGATCAAAAAGTTGTTAACTTGGATTTCCAAACAGACTTAAGCTCTTTCCCTGAATTCCCAGGAGCAGAAATAATTACATTTATTTGATTTTTTTTACCCCATCTCAGAAGCAAGACCTAAAATAACTCTTAGATTAGACAACAAGAAGCTTCCTTTTTGAAATCTTCTGCCTAACCTAATGGACAAAGCCAAAGCAGATTCAACTTCCTGCTCCCACCGGCCTTAGTGCAAGAACCCTGGGAGCCCTACTGTCCTCTGCTTTGATGTAACAGGGACGAGCTCACACCTGCATGCAGGGGTACCCGTTTCTCCCCGTTTCTTCTCGAGTAGGAGAAGGAAGGAAGAAACACTGTTCCTCAGTGAGCAGAGGTCCTCACACCGTTGACCAAATGGCCACACAGACCCGTCCTTATTTCTGGGGAACACGGCAGGCCCTTGGCTTGAGCCTCATTCTCTGTGACCAGGATAGCCTCTGGTTGCTCCAGCATGAGACACGCAACTCCTGTTAAAGCCCTTTATTGCATCCCAGTGTCCCAGGTCAGAGCAGAAACAGCTGTGTTGTGAAGGAGCATGTGTACAGGTGAGAGGGAGAGAAAGGAGAGGGGGTTTCTGGCTTTCTGGTCTTGGAGTGCCCTGCCCTAGCATTTTAGCTTGATACACACTGAAGATCTGTGTTTTAGATCTACATCTACATAAAGCAAGGACAGTTTCCCTTCTTTGGACACACTCGAGGCTAGGTTACTCCCTTTGTACCTGCAACAGCAGTGGGCAGCTCTGTAGGGGCCAAAGTCCACTTCTGCCCGTCCCCTCCCCATCCCACGCCACCTTTCCCTTTCCCTCTCCCACACTGCTGTAAGGGGATGCAGCCCTTGCCTGTTGGCCTTCTGGGAATTCAGCGGGAGTTCGGCTCCTTTGGAGGCATGCCTAAGGAGAGCCTGGTCCCTTCCCTGCTTTGCTGCTGGCCAGAATTCCTGACCAGAGGTTAAGCAGGCCTGTCCCACACCAACACCTACCCACCCCCCATCTCATTCTATTACTGCTTCCCTCTAAACGTAGACCCTTGCTTCCCCTGTCTGCCTTGAGCTTTGGACTTGCTGTTTTGCTTCCTAATTGCTGTTCCTCATTCCTTGCTAACCTGCTGTTCCTCTGCTGCTCAATGTCTTGCAGTCCTCTTTGCTAGCAGCCCGGCAGGCCTCCACCGAAGTACCCACTGCTGCAGACCTTGTCAGTGCAATAGAACAATTGGTCAAAAACAAGCTGGTAAGTGGGGGTCCTGGAGGCAGTTCTGCATGTTTCTTACCTCCATGTGGCTCCCAGGGCCTGGCATCTATCTGCCATGTTCTCCTTCATGCCAGTCCTCATTTCCCCTTGGATGTTATTTCCAGTCAATAAATGGTTTCTAAAAAGCTGTGCCCAATGGCCTTTTTGGCTTATTTGGAAATGGGCATGGGCAATTAACAGGCCCTTTTGGGTTGTGGCATTAATGACAGATGAGAAGTATGAAAAGTATCCAAGACAAAATACTTTTCCCAAAGCTTGGTCCACTGGCATACAGGGAAGTGGCATTTGGACAGTGACTGGTGTGTGCCTGATTAGCCTTGAAGCTTACTTTACTGCTGAGAACATGGATTGGATCTTTGAAAGCACCAGGTAATTTTATTTGGGGGTCCCAATAGTCTTCTAGCTTGCAAAGTCTTACAAAAGTAGATTGCTGGTTATAGGGAAATGGACAAAAAAGCAAGGATACCTCACCACAAGAAGGGAGCTGGTGTGTATCCCCATCATGGAGGAAATGGAACATTAAATGCTGAAAACTGAGCTCATGAACCAATCAGACCATTGGAGGGAAGGATTATGAATCTGGGCTGGTTCAGAGTTTCAGCATAGTGCTGGTGAAAGAGCTCGTTTTGGAGAAAGTGTTCCTCTACCCCCATATTTTTACATTGAGTGTATCATTTCAGGACGACAATCTGAAGCATTTTCCTTTCCTTCACTTTCATCCATGTCACTCATTTTGTTTCTCCCGCAACTCTCCTTAAGATAAATGTCTGTGCTTCTGCCAGGTTTATGTTGGGCAGTCCTGTTAATCAGCACCGTTTGAACCCTCCTCTACTCGGCCTAGAAATTAGGGGAAAATGATGGATGCTCTCTAGGGAAAGCTGCCTGATAATAATTTCTATTACAGCAACTCCCTTTTCACCTATCCCAGCTTGCAGAGCACCAGTGAAGTTTAATGCATATGATTTTCTTCTTTTCCCTCTAAATTTTCCCTCCCAACTTAAAAAAAAAAAAGAAAGAAAAATTTAGCTGATGCTTTAATAACTAGTGTCAGACTCTTGAAGGCTGCCCGTTTTCCTGCCCTCTCTCTGTCCCACTGGCGGGAGCTGAGCAATCTTGTGGGCACCGCATTGACTTTTCAAAGCATGCCTCCCTGGCGTCTCCTCATTTGCTCTCCTTTCCTCTCCACACTGACCTATACACCCTCATTCTCCAAATACCACTTAAAAATCATCCTTCTTTTCACATTTTCTCTTTCGCCGCCTGAGCCTGGGCCCTGGCCTCATGCCTAGACTCTTACAGTAGCCAGTGCTTGATCCTCCCCCACCGGGTCTGCCTCCCATATCTCAGTCTGCTGATGGGCCTTCCACAAGGGCCCCTGCTCAGTGGAGGCTCACTGCCTCCCTCTTGCCTACACGAGCAGTCATCTCCAATGTGGGGTGCCTTCAGATTTCTTGAGGTGCAGGAAGAAAGTTTTAGAATCTATCTCATCATTTAAAAATGGCTTTGCATATGTTTTATTATGTATATAATGATAATACAGTAGCATAGAAATATGCTTTAAAAAGAAGTTACATATTTGGGGAGTATATGACCAAAATCATGTTTACTGTAGAGGTTATATAATTCAAGTTTGGAAATGACTGACTCAATAAATAAGGCCCACACTCACCCAACATTCTAATGTTTTATAGCCAACCTGCCTTTCCAAAATCTGCTTCTAAATTCTGGTTGATGAACTCTGCTTCAACCAAATTGTTTTCCTCCCTGTCCCCAAACATGCATTTGGCTTCCCACCCTGCAAGTTTCTGCTCATAGCATCCCACTTCTCTGTAATGCTCTCCCTCTTATTTTCGCTTATCAAAAGCATAACTGCCCTTCAAGGTCCCACTCAAATCTCACCTCTCCTCCAGGGCTTTCCTGACCAGCCCAGGCCAGAGTTCTTCAGAAGTCCCATAGCAGTAGCTGTGAGAGCCACATGCTGCTTGGGATAGCTCTTAGTTTTGTGGTGTTGTTAAAATCTTAATGTCTTCTTCTTCAGCTCACCTCCACCACTAGATGATTAGTTATTTAGACCTTCCTCCTCTATTGGTATACAGGAGTCTTTTACGCTTATGTCAGTAAACATTTGTTTCCAAAAGTCTGTATTTTTCTGTATTTTGTTTTACCTCTTCCTATGCTGCTGCTCATCTTAGCACAGTTGGGAGTTGCTGTGGACATCTACTTTGTTATCACCAGGTCTGGTGTTAAACATATGAGTGTAGATATTGAGAAGTCCCGTAAGAGCCAATTTTCAAAGCAGAGTGGGTGTAGGATAGGAGTGGAGTTGTTTGGCCTTATGACAGGCCCTCAACATATGTCTGTTGGATGAATGGCCTTTCTGTGGTAAGTTTACCATAATAAGGGCTTGAACTCCCACCAGTAACTACTTCCAGAAGACCTGCAGTGAGCCCAGAATTATAGAGATTTCTTTGGCCAAGCATATAAAACCAAGCCCATATCATGGAAAGTAATGAGGGAGTGGTGGTTCAATTTCTCAGAATTTCTCACCAAAATTCCATCCATGTCCTTTCCTCTACTTCCTCTTTTCTTTCCATCCCAATATGTACCCCCAGTCGGGTAGCAGTGCAGCAGCAGTAGGCAGTTTTCTGACTGTATTTGAGAATAGTGTCTTGCATTTTCACCTCTGTGATTTGTGTCGCTATTCCTCATTGGTTCTTTAGCTTAGAAGAGGGAAAGATCTAGAACCCGTAAGAGTTGTGGAGTTTCTATATGACAGTAAGTACAATAGTGTGACAGCTGCTAGAATAGCCAGTGTGGTCACAAGCTGGGTTAAGGGAAGTACAATGTACAGATTAAGCAGAGTAATAGCGCCATTGTAGTCAAAGCTTTGCAGACCACACCTGTTGTGAGTCATGTGTGAATCATGTATCAGATTCTGAATTGCATCATTCTTAAAAGTTACTGATCTCAATAGAAGGGTTCCAGAGGAGGTAACCAGTACCATATGGTACATGTCATTTGAAGGAAAATTGAAGAAACTGAGGTTAAGTATGGAGAAAAGTTAGGAGAGAGAAGACCCATGAAAGCTGACTTCTGATAGTTGAGCACAGCCATACGAAAGGGCTGGTCTCACTCTTGATTGCTCCAGAGGGCAGTACCTAGATCTATAGGTGTAAGTTATCTTAGTTCATTATATGATGAACTAATAAGGTCCTTTCCAATTTATAGTATCTGGAAATTTTACAGGAACATCTATTATACTTGGACTTTTATATCTAGGGCTTGGATTCTTTCTGCTTTCTTTTTGTTTGCTCAAGATGTGACACCAAATTCCACATTTAGAATTCATTTGACCCCCCCAGCACCGCCTCAAAGCCGTGAGATACCCTGTGTCTCGGTGTCTCAAAGCTGCCCTCGGTGTTTTATGGTCATACAGCTATGCCTGCCTGAGGCTGCTGCTCCAGGGAGTCGTAATCTGTGCTGACCAGTGCTGCTGCTAGGGGATGAGGACAAGTGATCTCTGGTTCACTTGCGGTACAGATAAGACCCTGAAGCCCCTCCCCACCCGGAACTTCCTCGGGTGAGTCCCTCTGGACATTAATGGATACTTCTGAGATCTTGCTTGCCAGCTTTGGTCTTTAATCACTTTTTGTTACCAAAAAAGGATACCCACCCACTTCCCCCCAAATAGAGCTAACATACTTTTTCCATGTTTTGTATGAAGATTTTGTCTTTAACTCTGAGCCAGGAAAAAGGACTCCCCCTGCTTTCCCCTCTGTGGTTTTTAATAAGGCTTTTCCTAGACATGTGGACTGGTGGTGGTGGTGATGGTGGTGGTGGGTGTTTAAGGAATCAGGAGACTTTAGTCCTGCCCCTGTATTTATCGGATAGCCTTGGGCAAGTTACTCAGTCTACTTGGGCCTCTCTTTTATCTCATTTATTAACAATGATGATTCTGTCTACCTGAACCTAATCTCAAGAAAGTTAGGATAAGGACTGTGTAGGTTTGAATGTGCTTCACAAAATGATATGCAAACATACTACAAATGTCAGCACTTAGCTGCCTCCTCTGCATTGTGAAGGGCAGGGAAAGGGAACTAGTCATACTTTATCTTCAGTAACCACATCCTGAGCTCAGGGACACAGTGTTTGTCAGCCGGTAGATTGGTGGTTGGGTGAATGTTGCAGGATAATAACTTAACAGTCACTGTGACTTGGTTTTATTCCCCAGGTTTGAGGAGCAAGAGCTTCCTGGCCCTGTGGGAATCTAGTGTGTGTGTGTGTTAAGAGCCCCAGGATTCCACCACCCACCTGAGATGAAAGACAGCCTCTGGAACGAATGACCCTCCCTGAGCCCTGTCCTTAGGTGACACCTCACAAAAGCTCATTGGTCCCAGAATGGCACCAATGGCCCCTTGACTGGTAATCTTCTGCCTTTAGGGAAGGGTCTGGCCAGGATTGAGTTCTTGTTCAGTCTGCCTGGTGGCCTGGCATCCTGAGAATGTGTCCACCTGCTTCAGCAAGACTTCCTGCCCTCTGGTTCTCCTACTTTGATAGCATTCACCTCCCTAGGCCAGGCTTGTGGGTCACAGAACATGGCAAGGGCCAGGCTGCATTCGTGTGTGTGCTTTGCTCTCCTTTGTATGAATTGGCTTCGTCTGTGGTGGTAGAGTTAGCCGAAGTTCAGAGTCTAGACAGGAGGAAATAATGGCTCTATCACAGCCACTGTGAAGGTGTATTTTTTCAGAAACTAAGTTCTTCTGGCATCCCTCTGGGGAAAAGAAATAGAAATAGAGCTTGTTAAGGAAGAAAAATTTCAATTTCCACCCCAAAAAAATTTAAGATCAAGACAAACTTGAAATGTCATTTGCCTGGAAAATCCAGACTTCAGTTTTTCTGCTAATTGTCTTGTCCATCCCCACCCTCAATTTGCCTGGGAATGACTAAGATCTAATACTTTGTCCAGAGAATGTTATACAAACGTTTATGAAGGGGGTAGGGCAGCCAAGAGGTTGGCGTGGTACCAAGTGCTGGCCTGGCATCCTTACCTGTTGTTTCACCACATGAGCTTTGACTGCTCCCAGGAGTTCCATAGTTTACTCCATAAATTCCTGGAGTCCTACTGTGTGCCAGCTCTGAACTCAAATACAGAACCTTCCTCCATTGGGCTCACAGTCTAGGTTTAATGATCAAAATGCTCTCCTGCCTGGACTGTTGCAACCATCTCCTCCCAGCTTCCAGTGTAACATTTCTCTATGTGACTACCAGAGAGAGCTTTCTTTTCTTTTCTTTTTAAAGAAAAACTGTTTAATGATTATTTTCTGACTAATAAAAGCAATATATACTCATTCAAGGAGAACTGGAAAAATGACAAATATAAACACCAATTCTATCACTCATAATTCATCATCTAGAAGTATTCAGTGTTGACATACTGATATATTCTAGACCCTTTGTAAGTTAATGTAGTTAATCGTAGAGTATATAAAATTTAAGTCCTGTTTTCCTTTACTGTCATATCAGAGACATTTTCCCACACCATGAAAAGCTCTTAGGAACATTAAGACTGATCTTTCTAAAGCTTCAATCCCATCATGTTACTCCTATGCTATCATCGGTCTTAGAAAATGAAATCTATAATTGTTAATGCCATACATAAGGCTCTTTATGATCTGACCCCTGTGTACTTCCCCAGGGTTATTTATGCTACTCACCTTTTCCTTCCCTAGTACCCACTCACCCCAACTCACATAACACACAGTCACTTGCCAAACCCCCTCCACTTTTCCCATGCTGTGTTCTACCTACATCAGGCCGCTTTCAGCTTCCCAGGCTTCCCTGTGTAGTTTCACAACTTAACATTTATTCACAGTGCTGCTCCTGTTGGGAGTGTCCTCCCATTGTGTATCCAGTGAAATCCTTTCTGTTTCTCAATGCTCAGTTCAAGTAGTGCCGTCTTCCATTAAGCCTTTCTCTCCACCTCACCATAGAACTGCCTGCTCCTTTTTTCATCTCCCATGGTACCCCATCTGTCTAGCAGAGCACCTGTTGTAACTTAGTTTATGAACCTTATCTTATTCCTCCTCATTTCTCCAGTGCTTTGCAAGTATTCAGCATATAGTAGATGCTCAATAAATATTTGTTTGCATACAAACGAATGACCATTGACAATACTGTATAATGAGTGCTGTGCAGGGGTGTGTAAAGGGTGCTCATACTACCCCAAGGAAGGGCATTTTATGGGTATGTGATCCAAGATCCAATGGATAGGAAATGTATTAGCTTCTAATGTGGGGACAGCCTTCTCCCATATTTAATCTACTTTTTGAATCCTATTTGTATTTCTATTCAGACTTTGGACCAACTATAGGAGCCTTTGCTGCTCCCTCCCTGTCTACCTTTCCCTTCATCTGCTGAGACTGCATGGGCCTGAGCCCTGGGCAGAGCCAAAGTCCTCCCTGTGGCTGCATAGCCTCCACTCATCAACCGGCCAGCATTGCCCTTTTCCGCCAGGAGCACCACAGACAAGTGCAGGCCACCCCTAGGTGCCCTTGGCTGGGACCCTGTACCCCAACTCTAGCACAAGTAGCCAAGTCCTCAGAGGGAATTACTTTTGGATAATAAGCATTTATAGCCAACACCTGTATTGGAGGCAGATTACCCAGCATACAGCTTAGCCAAACCCTTTATTTCTCTCCTCTTCCTCATTCACGGCCTCTGCCCTTCTCAACTCCATCCCAGAGAGTCCTTGCCCAGAGATAACGTGGGCTTGTTGGCTCACATAACAGGTCAGGCAGAAGGATATGGAACATATGTCCTTGTGCAACACTTTGAACTCAGAAGTCCTTCCTTCTGTAGAAGGGTTGAACATGAACACACCAAACTGGATGTTCCACAGGGGAGCTCTATAGGCAAAGATGTGGGCCTGTTTCCCTGGACCTTGCAGCCAACATCCTGCCAGCCAACACGCTGTAGAACTAAGGCTGTAAAAGAGCAATGGGGAAAGGGGTAGGGAAGTAAAAGGCATATAATCAGATCAGTCACCAGCTGGACCCATCTGCCCGGGGAGCCTGTCTCCGGTGATGGCACCAGAGGACATGTCACATGTCTTAGAAAGCCTTCCTGTCCACCAGCTTGTCAAACCTCAGCACCAGACACTCTCATTTCCTTAATCACTAGTTATAAATCCTGAATCTATAAATTTAGCTAAACTCTTCCTGACCTTTCTATATTTTTAGCTTATGCTGTTCCTCTGGATACCAACTTGCATGGTTGGTTATTTGTTCTGTAAAATATTTTCATGTCCAGTTAAAAGACATTCTGTCTCTCAAGCTTGAAGGCTCTGTTTTAGTTTCTAACATTGGTAACAAATTCATGTTTGATCCTTGGTACATTTTGTTGATGTGGGAGTAGGGTTTGGGGAAAGCAGGTTGACATCTCTTCTCAGCTCTTAGCTTTTTAGCTTCAGGTCTTAAGATTCTCCACACAGTCTCATATAATGGTCCATTGAGCATCTTGTTCACTTTTTGTTTCATTTCCTTGGACTCTTCCTGTCTCTATTTGGCCTATGTTGAAAAACAGCAGCCAAGAGAACATGTGACAGATACTCCAAGTGCAGGTTGTTTAAGACCATGCTGAAGACTATTCCTCCTGCCTTTGTGGACACTTTTTGATCTCTGTGACTTTACCCATAAGACTGAAGTTGTCAAAGACTAGTGCAGTGAAGCCTTTCCTTGTAGCCACAGTGGCTGTTATGGGCAGGCATCCTCAATGGATAGTTTGGGTTAGTCTCTCATGTTTGTTTTACAATTGCCCATCGTGACCTTGATCTCTAGACTTATTATTTATCCACATTGCCTCTGCCAATTTGCATAGTGAAATACTAGGTGTCACCATGTGATCTTTCTTTCAGGGCACCTGTAAAAATGTTAAGATTGATCCCATTTTTGAGCATCTGCATCATTAACGTTTGCATCCCTGCGATAGGGGTGGGGAACACCGTTGTCGTGACTTTAATTTTTCAAGGGGTTGTTCTCTGTCTATTCCTTAGAAATACAATTGGGAAAAAATAAAGCATAGAACAATTTTAGCTATCTCACTGAAGATAATCCAGTGACTAGCAGATCTGGGATCAGAATCCTTTACCCTAGCTCTTTGTGGAATACCATATTAATCCCTCTACCTGTTTCTCAATCCTAAAGCACCTTAATTAAAATAAATAAAGGGGGTTCATAAAAGAAAGCCCTTGGTAAATAACCTTAGCAAAGATGTTTTTAGAAAAGGCCCTATCTATTGACCTCTTCTTGTCTACATCTCCCTGGCCTCTTCAGAAAAAAACTGTAGGTGATTTAACCAACACAATTTCACAAAAGTAGTTCCCTTATCATTACCCTCACCTCCTCAATTTGTATTGGTAGCCCTACAACTGGTTTCCTTTTCTAACTGCTTGTTGGGTGTAGCACTGCAATGATTAGCTTTACCTCTGGAGGTCTTACCCAGGGATAAGTCACTTTGACAGTTCTCATGCCTGGGAAATTGGCAGCACATGACGCCAAGTACATCCTGATTGTGTGAGGAGGTGGCAGCTCTGGACTTCCTGCTGCAGGAAGGTGGGAGTCTCTGGCCTCCTGGTGCTTCCCTGGGGTTTGGTGAGAACAGCCTCGGCCACTGGCCCACCGGGTCGGCTGTGGCTGCTTGGGGGCCTCAGGGCTTCCAGATGGTTTTCCAGCGTACCCTCCTCTAAGGTTGTTTATTCTTCTTTTCAGAGTCTAGAAGGAGGCTCATACCGGGGGAGCCTGAAAGACCCTGCAGGCTGCCTGAATGAGGGGCTGACCCCACCTGCACCTCCTAGAAACCTGGAAGAAGAGCAGAAAGCCAAGGCCCTGAGAGGCAGGATGTGAGTGGCGCCCTACACCCCACCCTGGCGTGTGTGTGCCGTGGACGGTGGGCAAAGGCCAGGGGAAGTCTGTGGAGAGTTAGAGAGGGGTTCCCCGTGCTAGGTTCCCCCTGATGCCACCCAGTGAGGGTGACCTAGATCTGCACAGTGCAGCACTGATGAACAATGAACTAGAGTGGCATTGACTTTAATGATTTTAGGCTGAAATATTTTCTGGGAGATGGCAGCTATTATTGACAAAGTGTGATTATAGCCAAGGTCTGTTAGAAATTCAAAACATGCTGATAAAAGGGAACAACTGAGTTCAGGGACCTTTGGGACCATTACTGTGGTCCCATATCAGAGAACCCGTGGCAGACAGTCTGATGAGTTTCACTGAGGGAACATTTCCCCAAAGGCAGGAAAGTAATATAAAAGAAAAGGGAGCTGCTGTGGCACCAGGCCAGGGCCTCGCTCTACACCTCTGAAGGCTTTAATTTCACATCCATTTGTGGGCGTGGTTCCAAGAGAATCACTTCACTTTCTAAATGGCTAGGGGTAAATGCAATTCACATTGCAGGGCATGTCACCAAAGCCTGTAGATTATGCCAAGATGTATTGTCCACCCTGATCTGAAGTCAGTCTTCTATTACTTGAGATGATCATGGAGATATTGGGTGCCACTAATGCAAAACCATAATTCCTCCAGAACTTTAGTCTTCTTGTTCAGGGCTTAACTCTGTGTTGGAAGCAGAGTTACTAATGGGCCTTGGCATGGCCTGATGTGTGAGAAATTGTAAGTGCAGAGAGAATCGGGTAAGCAAGTGTGAAGGCTTCCCCCTCCGCGGTGCTGAGCAGTTTGCTTTCTCCCTCAAACTCAGTACTCCTTTAGCCTGGTCACAGACATTAAGATTAGCAAAAATACCTGAGGCCAGGTCCTTCTGTTGCCTGGAAATAGGCAAAGTGGACATTCATAACTTCATTTCCTTGGACAAAAAGTGGAAACATCATAGCAGGGGCGTGGCCTCAGAGCGGCACTATCTGCTTCTGTATTTACCCTCCTCACCTTTATGGGTGGGTGCTCAGGGGAGACCCAAGAATGGAATAGAGGTAGAAAAATATCAACCCCAAATGGAACTTCCCTAGGACTCGTACAAAGCTGATTCTCTTTAGCGTTTCAGGCTGTTTCAGTGGGTGAGGCAGAGCTGGGAGCCAGTGTTCCAGTCCATTGTCAAGCCAAGGCCAAGGTCAAATCAGGGAGGTGACCTTTGAGGTGGCAGGGGGTCCCTAGCAAAGCCTGTCACTGCTCTTGTCACCCAGATTGAATGGGCCTCAGAGCAGTCACCTAAGCCATTATCACCCTTCCAGATGTGATACCATCTGGTCCTTCTCCAGCAGGCTGTGTTTCCTCCTTTACCACTTTACCCGCCTCTTCTCCCTCTTCGCACGCTCTCCCCCCGCTCCATACCTCTCCACATCCTGAGCTATCCTGAAAATCCCGCTGTTAGAATGTCTCACTCCTTTTACTGGATATTGCCTTTATTCCATCCTGCTGTAATCTATGGCCATGATCAAAGAGAGGATACGTAAGTATTTAACTGTAAACCTTTGTGAGGCTGGAGGCTGAGGGGTACAGAGAACTGAGACTCAGTCCACAAGTTGCCAGTAAGACATCAAAGGGTTAAATGGGGACTCCATGGAGAAAAGCTGAGAACAACTAGTTATTTGTCCAGGAGAAGGGAAAAAAAAAACTAGAATGGCCTTGCTTGTCTTCAAGTTTTAGTCACCCACTCATTTAATAAATACTTGCCGAACATCTGTATGTACCACGGGCATGGTGTGTCAGTGAATAAAATGAACACGAGCAACAAAAGAAAAGTCCTTGCTCTCGTGGCAAGTTTATACTCTAATGAGGGAAATCATACAATCAACAAAATAAAAAATAAATCATGTAGTATGTTAGAAGCTGGAAAAAGAAAAAGTAGGAAGGATTATCGGGAGTATGGATGAGGCCACACTGCAGTTTTAAATGGTTCTGCAGAGGCATAGAGACCAAAAGGAGGCAACAAATTAGCTATTAAAAGTGTTCTCAGCAGGGAACAGCCAGTGCAAAAGCTCTAAGAGATTTTCTGTGGACGACTAGCCATCCTTGCTACTGTGAAAGAGAGAGGTTAGAAGTAGGTCTGAACTGTAACTGGCAGAAGATTAACTGGACCAAAAAATAACATTTGCTTTGTAAATACGTCTACTAATAAGAACTGAACATGAAAAAATGGCTTTATTATCTGTTCAGATTACCTGGCAATTAATAATGTGCTGTCTTGTGATTGCATGCAATTTAAATCTTTTAGGTACCTTTTTAGAATGTCTTTTAATATGTCATCATCTCCCCAAGTATTTCATCAGCCCTTCAGGGGAAGAGATGCCAGGCCCACCAGCAGCACCAGTCCAATCCATCCCCTGCCTAGAGGCTGTAAGCCCAAGGCAGCCTTCACTGTGTCAGCAGATAGCTTAGGATAAAAATATCGCCTGGAGACAGGGAGCTGGACCTCATCTCCAGAGGGCCCTTCCAGCCCCAAATTCCCACTCCCAACTTGCCTGTGGGTTTTCTTTCACCATTTTCTTCCAAGCAAGAACTTGGGCTGCTCTAAAGATATATTTAGATGCTTTAATTTGGCCTTGCCCGTTCCTTCCTGTGGCGTACAACCCATGACTGTGTGTATTTGAGGGGGGCCGGTTGGAAGTACTGGACATGCTGATAAAGAAGCACATGTTCTTTGGCCTCTTCCCCATCACCCTGAAACCCAAGACTCAGGGGGTTGTTGGCTTCTCATGCCATGAAGATCAAGAATTTTAGATGAGTTGCTTCCTGGGTTCAGAATGGTTACAGCCCTTGCACTGAGGCCCCTCTTTGACATCGCGGAACTTTATCCCTTCTGCCACTTGGGCCAAAAATGCAGTTGCATGGCTGAGGGCAAAACTCTTTCAAACTTAGATAGTACAAGTCAGACTCCAGTAAGCCACACAGCACTAGCCCACCCCTGCACTCAACCACATGCGTCTTAGTCCAGCTCTTTATTGTTTGTACAGAAAGAAAGAGAAGCGTTTGGATATGAGGCCTCAGAGACTTGACAGAGCCACTCCAAGTAGTTGACCAGGCAACAGGGGACAGTGAAAAGTAGTCTGTGGACTCTCGTATAACTGGGTTCAAATCCCAGCTCTGCCACTCAGTTTGTCATCTTGGGCCATACTGTATCAGTGTTTCAGTCTATTTAAATAGGGCTTCCAATACCTACCTAATACATGCATGAGAAAACCCAGATGAAGCCACTGGACAAAGTACGCGTGTTAAGCAGAAGAAATCGTGAGCAAGAAACAAACCAAGAAAGCAAATGTCCTTGTAGTTATTAAATCCCACATCTGGTGGGAGGTCAGGGAAGGTGAGGGCAGGTTGCTGCATTGCAAGCTGTGATTATGAAATGTCTGCAGTCAGTCTTTCTGACCTTGACAGGGGATTTTGCAGGCCAGTTATCAGGGACACCTATCTGAATAACTGTTGCTTCTGTACCTCCAAAGCTTCACATGATGGCAGTGTCACTGTGCCTCAAAGTTTGGTTATCAAGCAAACATCTTTCTCCTCTTGTGAAGCAAAGAATGGAGTTGAAATGAAGGCAGAAGAATCTTGTGTTGATTCCTTATCCTCAAAGCTTTCATAAGTTAGTTTTACCAAGGTTTTGCTCATCCTTCTTCCTGCCCTGTGTCTACACAACTGTCCAGTTATAAGTGAGGGAGGAGGAAGCATAAACTAGAAAGGAGAATCTGGGCTGTAAGCACGCTCCCCCTGACTGTGATATGCCATCTGGGAAGCCCCCTCAGCCTCTGTTCCCTCAGCTCTTCGCAGGGGGCCCTTGCAGAGAACACCAGTAAGCACCTGCCCACGAGGTGCCAGGCGTGGGGCTTGCGGTGGTCTCGTCATAAGGGTGTCAAGGCAACTTTCCTGTGAACTTAAGTGTGAAGATTTCTTGCTTGGCAGTGAAGAGGATCCCTCATTGTTCTTAATCTCCTGCTCAGGTTTGTCCTGAATGAGCTGGTCCAGACAGAGAAGGACTATGTCAAGGATCTGGGGGTTGTCGTGGAGGTGAGTACAGGGCTCAGGTGGGTCCGGGCTACCCCACATACTGGACCCTACCTGGGCCGGGATGTTTTTAACTTAAGGGTTACATGGATTTCACTCTCTCTGGGTATTTGAAGAAATGAAACTAAAAATGATAAGAGATAAAATAGAATATGTAGGGGTTTTTTTTTCCTTTTTGCCTTGAAACATTATAAGCAATTAGAAGGAAGTGGTTTCCAAATCTTGCCACTTGGTTAGAACTGAGTCCTGTCACCTTGTTTGAAGTGACCAAGTTATTGTCCCAAGAGCTTTGGTGGTGTTTGACCATATGGAAATACGTTCTTCAGAGCTGTGAGCCACCACAGGCACTAAGCAGGTCACTCTCAGTGAGCCCTTGGAGCTTATAAGTTTCCTTAGATTTAAAGAGAGCACTGTGGCTCCCAAGAGGACAAAGAAAATGCCAGTGAGGCAAGGCTGACAGGCTCACCGTTAAGAGTCAACCTGGCAGTGAATGAAATAGCTCTCAGTCCTTGGGGGTTACTTTTGGGGGATTTAGGCACATGGATGAGAAAATCTAAGAAAGTAAATGGATAATTTAGATGGCTTAGAGCCCTGTTGTTAATCATCTTAAATGAAGGACTGTAAAGTCTAAAAATTGCGTGCCTGCTACCTGTACCACTTGCTGGTGCCTTCCATTGAGCCTGTAAGTCCCCATCCTATGAAGTCTTCAGGTTTTATATTTGCTTGTCCTAAACCTTAGATAAACAGACTAACCTGGAATGTAGAGGACCTTAATTCTAGTTTATGGAAAGTTATTCTGTTCTCCAAGGGGGCTGGGGACAGACCAGGGTACAGCAACCTCCATATGAAGCCTAGCCCAGGAGTAGAGTAGAGGGTTTGGGAACCTGGAGGCTGAGAAACTGGGATCCAAGCAAGTCAGACATCAGTGGTGTGACTGTGAGAGACCACACAGTTCCCCAGGCCATGGCCTCCTCATCTGTCAGGTGGGGGCAGATGCTGCCAATGCAACCTCAAACTTGATTGCAAAGCTGAAATGAGATTATACTTGACAACATTTTACAGAGTCTAAAGCATGAACATATTATTAAGACATTTTGAGGCCAGATGTGCCAAATTCTGAGCCTTCAAAGACTTACTTAACTTATATTGGAAAAAGGGAGAGAAACAGGTGACTGTTTTCTTCCTTATTCTACTTTCTTAAGGGGCTGGAGAAAAAAAAACGGGACCCAGAACTTCGTAAAAGTTTTGTCTGTCACTCTGCACACGGTCAAGTCCTGGTTGAATAGCGAGAACCCACAGACGTACTTACTCTGAGACTCGTGCAGGGAGTGGGCACTTCCGTGGGGCTGTGGGTGGGGGCTTAGCAAGAAAGCCTCCTCATGAAAATGCCCTCCTCACTGCTGCCTCTGCCATGCAGGGCTTCATGAAGAGAATAGAAGAAAAGGGTGTCCCTGAGGACATGCGAGGAAAGGACAAGATCGTGTTTGGAAATATTCACCAGATTTATGACTGGCATAAAGAGTAAGTGCTTTGTGGTCCTGAGAATTGGGGCCTCCTGGGAATCCAGGACCCGTCCTCCCCCTGCATCTGACCTTAGGGGCAGGGTTTGGGGATACTTCTGTCATTGATCTCATCCCTGAGGCACAGCACAGTTCTGAAGAATGTGGCTTCCTTCTCTTATCCCCTCTCCTCCTTTTAGTTTTTTCCTGGCTGAACTGGAAAAATGTATCCAGGAGCAAGACAGATTGGCACAGCTCTTTATTAAACATGTGAGTGCTTCCCTCCCCGCCCCTCCCCAGTCAGGCTCATTTGCATGCACTTAAAAATTCCTGTTCTTCTGCTTTCCCTTGAGGTGCCTTCCCCCTCAGCCCTCACTGAATTGCCAGAGTTTTTTTAACCTTTTTGGCAATTTGAAATGTGGGTTCTTGCCTACTACATTTCCCCTTCCATCCACGCTATTTAACTCCCTCAGGGCACCCCAAGCTGTGGACCATGTTTGTTCTCCTCTCCGCATGTAGACCAGCATAGCACTGCTCTGAGTCCCAGCATGAGGCACAGATGCCTGAGCGCCCCTCCCTATGCCTTCGCAGGAGCGGAAGCTGCACATCTATGTGTGGTACTGCCAGAACAAGCCGCGCTCCGAGTACATCGTGGCTGAGTATGACGCCTACTTTGAAGTAAGCTGCTTGGGCTTTGCTGAACCGAGGCAGGGGACAGACACTCAGGCCAAGGCAGCCACATTCAGAAATACCAGCCGCCACCCACCCACAGATGACCCCTCAGGACAGGGATAGCTGCCTCAGCAGAGCCACTGGCCTCTTAGCTAAGTTCCCATGAGCACCTTTGCCTGAGAGGCACTGAGGCAGCCCAGTGTGTGGACTGCTTTCAGAAGCCTCCGTGTAAGAAATAACTGTAACAGAAAGGCTGCTTCTGAAGCTCCGGGCCCCTGTACATGACCCCAGAGCAGACCGTGCCCACGCTCCTCCTCCCTGCCCTGCAGTCTGCCTGCTGAGGACCTTCCTCCTCAGTGAGGTGCTCGTGGGCATCTCACAGTCTCAGCTCCCAACCCCAGAGGTTCTGTCAAGCACCTCAAAGTGTTTGTTTTGCCCCAACCTGGAAGTGTGTATTTTGCAAGAGGAGAGGCAACACCTCACTTGGAAAGAGCCCTCACCTGAGCGTTTGCGGATCTGAGTTGAGGGCCCAGCCACATAGGCTTGTCGTGTCCAAGGAGGAGCCCTTCATTCATCCCTGGCTTGGCCCTGGAGTGGCAGAGAGAACAGACTACCTCTTCCAGCATGGCCCCAGGACTGGTGTGAGGACACGGGGTGGGAAAGTGCTTGATGGGCAGAAGGTGACAGTGATGTGTGTTCCCTATTTATAACAAAGTAGCAGTTATGTAGGCAATTCTGCCTTTTGCATGGTTTGAAGATACTAAAACTTTATCAGCAAACAAAAGACCTGTTCTTCTTGTCTTGAATCATGATCCAGAAAACCCCAAGTCTTTGGTTCTTTTTTTTTCTGACATAGCTCCCTTGTATTCCAGGAGGTGAAACAGGAGATAAATCAGAGGCTGACGCTGAGCGACTTCCTTATCAAGCCCATTCAGAGAATAACAAAATATCAGTTGCTCCTCAAGGTAAGAGCTGTGAGCTTGGGTCGGGGCTGGAGAAGGGTCTCTTCAGGCTCTGGGTTAGTGAGCGGTCAGCTTGAGTTTCTTCCTCCACCGCATTCTTCCTGGGAGCCAGGGGCGTGTATGGGCTTCTGTCTTGTCTCTGGGTTACTTCTGTCAACCCTGCCCCCCTGCAAATTGCACACCTATTGTTGCTGCCTTTAAGGTTAGTTGCTATTTCATTTTCTCTTTTTCAGTTCACTTACTTTATCACATCACTGACTTAGTCCCTTTGAAAAGTAAAAGAAAATAAGAGCATAAAAGCAGAGTGGATGACAAGGAGAATGCCGAGGCAAGGCAAAGCCCTAGAAAACTTTAAATGAGTAATAACTAAAATTTGATCGTATTTTACTTTTCTAAAATGGTTCATTTGATTTGTCTTACAGAAATATGAGGTAACTGGAAGCGAGAGATGGAACTCTCCTTTCTCCCACCCGTTCTTGTCAGAATCCCCCACCCCCACCCCGGCTTCCCTGTTCACACCCCCTCTCCCCTCCCTCCCCTCTTTTCCCACAGCTCTGAAGCTTTGACTATTCTGGGGATTCTGTCCATGTTATTATGTCCAGTATGACTCATAACTCCATATCTCAGCCCCTGCACAGCATCGCCATCTCTGTTGGGAAGGAAAGTCTTCTGGGTGTCATCACAGCTTTTATGATGTTAGGTTTTTTATAGCTCTGTTTTCTAACCGATCTCACCCTTCCCACCCCCTTCCCTTCTTTCCCACTGGCTAGGACTTCCTGAGATACAGCGAGAAGGCTGCTTTGGAATGTTCAGATATCGAGGTGAGTTTTCTGCTTGTAATGCTGGCTGGTCTCAGGGATGGTACTGGATGTCTGTCTCTGGCGGAGAAAAATGGGCTCTGAAAACCGAGGGTCCGAGCTGAGAGCACCTTCCAAACAGCTGCTCAGCAGGATGAGAAACAGCAAGTGTTGATGCACACAGCGAGTGCTTTTCTAGAACTTGAGACTTCTGTCCTGGGCCAGACCAGAGCGCAGCCCCGTGGCATTCTCCTTGTGGCTCCCAGGGACATGTGGTGGGAAAGGGAGCCCACTAGCGTCCCTCAGAGGTTGGGTGTTTCAGTGCGCAAGTTGTATCCATGCTTCCAGGTCCTATTTGAGTCTCACATACAAAGTATCCCATTTTCACTCCCTCCCCCACCCCCAAGGATTACTTCCTAGGTGAAGTCCTTTGAGACAATGTCACCATGGAGATTATTTTAAGCCACAGAAGTTACAGACCATTCTGGCAGGTTATTTTAAGTTAAAACCTCTAGCGTTTCACAAGCCCGGCTCAGCTATTGCTTGGGCAGCAAAGAAGCAACCGAGAGAAGAAAGAAAATACAAGATGGAAAGGGAATTAGTAAACAAAAGTGGGGAGGTAGGAAAAGGACTGGTTGGCCAGCATTCTCCCCATGCATGGCCTGATTCTCAGGGAGCCCTGCATTGATGGCTAATACCCCTCAATGTAGAACAGAAAATCCCATGGCCGTCTGAGAGTGGGCAGCAGGGACCAGCATCCTTTCCTAGAATCAAGGAGCTACCAGCAGATCCCCATCTTGCAGGACGGAATTGCCTCGAGCTTCCTGCCTGAGTGCTCTTCACCCTCATGAGCTGCTATTGTTCTTTCCCACAGAAAGCAGTGGAGTTAATGTGCCTTGTTCCAAAACGCTGCAATGACATGATGAATCTGGGACGCCTGCAGGGCTTTGAGGTGAGCCCTTAAGAACGCTTCTAAGCCCCTCTTCTGGACAGCAGGAGCCCAGGCTATGAGGCAGCTTTCCCTTGGAACCTTGTGCCCGCCTCCTCTGCTTCCTTTACTCGCCATCTGTGCCTTTGTGCCGGGGCCCCTCTAGTTTACAGGCCTGGAAGATGCATCTGTTTAGGATGATAAGTGATGAGACAGTCCTAGGAAGCTACATAGCAGTTAACCAAGCTGGAGTCAGAATTCCAAGGGGTTTGGAAAGACCCCAAATTCTTTATAACTGTGCACATGTCAATGACCTCTTCCTTTTTCTTTTGTGCCTGAGAAATGCTGGGAATGTGAGGGAGAACAGGACTCTGTGATGGAAGTAGAACCAGAGGGAAAATTAAACAATTTTTTTTTGAAAGGGTAGTTCTAATAAGCAGGTCTATACAGTGGCTGGATTTTTAGTTAAATGTACATTTAAGGCTTTAAAACATCACAGTGCCCATTTCTTTTCTTTGAAGAAGAGAATCAAGTCTTAGGAGAAACAGCTGCATGTCTCAGGATTTTGGTTTGAGTGAATGTACTAGTTTGCTAAGGCTGCTGTAAAAAGCACCACAGACTGAGTGGCTTACACAACAGTATTTGTTATCTTACGTTTCTAGAGGCTGAAAGTCCAAATCCAAGTATAGGCCAGGGTGGTTTCTTCCGAGAGCTGTGAGGGAAGGGACTGTTCAGGCCTCTCTCATTGGCCTGTCCATGCTGTCCTCAAGGTCACATGGCATTCTTCATCCATCTTCACACTGTCATCCCTCTGTGCATATCTCTGTGTCCAAATTTCCCCTATTTTATAAGGACACCAGCCATGTTTGATTAGAGCTTGCCCTAATGACCTCACCTTAATTTGATTCCCCCTATAAGACCCTATATCCCAATAATGTCACATTCTGAGGTACTGGGAGTTAGGAATTGGACGAGGGAGGCAGTTCAACCCTAACAGCGAACCTTTGAAAAACAAATTGACTTTCCTAATTTAAACTTTATAGGTGGTTGCTATTAGTTTATATCCAAACTTCATATATTAACTCTATATAATTTGTTTTGAATATTAACATGATAAAATTTATGCTGACATAATTATTGACTGGTACTTAATAGTTGAACCCCTTAGGAAAAGATGATGATCTTCTAATCCTGTTTGCTGGTAATTCTGCAACCTAAGATTCCATTATTCCTTTCTGGAGAAAAGGGATTCCTGGAAATTGAGAAAATAGAAAGTAATAGCTTTTATTTTTTGGCTGGATTGCAATAGATAGAGTGGAATAGAATAGAATAGAATAGAATAGAATAGAATAGAATAGAATAGAATAGAATAGAATAGAATAGAATAGAATAGAAAAGAAAAGATAAGATATAAGGCTGACTGGTATATAAGTAAATTTAGGATATCATATAATCAGGTTTGGGTTAATGAGTTGGATTCATGATTGTGGGCCAAATTCTCCTGTCTTCCCTGTCCTTCCAGCCCATTCTGGGTCTCTATCTGATTTCTATTCCTTTGTTTGGACCAAGAACTATGTAGAGGGTCTTTGCTGTTCATTTTTTGCATATACCCAGTTTTCCACAGCAGACTCGAGGCATTAGGATAATCAGGGATATGCAGCAGAAATGTACCCTGGGTCCTTACATGGTTTTTCTTTATTGTACTGGGTGAAGTTTTACACTTTTTTGCTTGGAGTTGTGCCAGGTACAAGGCTATTCTGAACAAAACAAACGGTAATTTCTGCTGCTTTTAAGCTGCAGTGTTTCTGTGTTTTCTGAGCAGGAGTCTGACTGGACTCTGGGTTTCTGGAGGAACTGGCCACCGGTCAGAGGAGCGGCACCTGATCGTGCTGTCTGATCACAGGAGCTGTGCTGTACCTGTGCCCGTGTGTCCACAGAAGGCACACACACGGGTGTGGAATTACTTTCTCCTTTAAATCAAGCACCACCATCTCCTTTTTTCAGCAAGATCCAAAGAATCTGCTTGGTGTTCCTTCAGCTAAATCGGGAAGATCCCTGAATACACTGCCACTCCTTCTGAAGTCCAGAGCTCTGGGCCAGGGAGAAGTCAGCCCCCTCACTTCAGTTCTCTCCCTTTTAAATCCCTAGCTTTCTTTTTAGCGTCAGCGGGGCTCTAACTTTCAGGTCAGGCTCTTATGTAATATTAAGAAAGCTTTTAGAGCTTTCCTGGCTAGCTAGTCACTGGCTTAATATTAACTTTGGACGAGGGCAGAGATAAGCCTGTTTAGCTGCTGACCTTGACAGTCAGAGCCTTAATCCAAGCAAAGAACAGGTGTTTCTCAAGAACAGGAAAGAAAAATGACCTGTGCATGGGGTAATGTTTGGAATAAGGCATCATGTACAGAGAATGGCCCACATTTGCACTAAAGGACAAAAGTGGTCACCCGGGAGAGTATATAGTTCAGAGGAGGCTCTCTGGCTGCTATCCCAGATGGCAGCTCATTTTTGTTGTGGAATAGTAAGAAAAGTGATGCTCTCCATTAGCATCTGTGAAGACATGGTGGATTGGGCCACACTCCCTTTGAAGATGTGAAGGTGTCTCTGAATAGAAACTGGCAAGCCAAACAGGTTTACCCCCTAAGCCTGATGCCAAGTGGCCCGGGTAGCTGGAGGCATTTTAAGAAGGATCACAGGACCCAGAAAAATAGCTATCAGCTTATAAAATATGAGGCACCTCTCTGTAGTACCCCAGCTTTGCCTGTTGATCTGTAACAGGAGACTAAGTCTTCAGAATTTCCCCATCCTGAAATAAAAGGAGGAGAAGAGAGAAGCTGAACTTGTCAGGTTATTTCTGGTCCTGCCTACATCACTTCTCTTGTACACCACAAGTTGGTTCTAGGTTCATGGCCATGAGGGTGCCCCAGGTCCTTGGTCCATGCTGTCAGGGACCTAGGCGGGCACATTTCTCAGAGCTCTCATGACAGAAAGCCCACTTCTAGCTCCAAGTGTCACCTACTTTCTGTTCTCCTTTTAATAGAAGTAAGAAGGACCAAGATAATTCCTGAATGTCTTTTTAGCTCATAATGTTACCTTCTTTGCTTCTGGCATCTTCTTGGAGCTGCCTTTTAGTGGTTCCATAGCCTTCTTTCCCTTTCCCCCCAGGGCCCTCATGTCTGTCCTAGATGACTAGTGGCTCCTAATTCATTCTCTGACTAGAGCCCGAGGCTTGGGCTGGCGGGTGTGCTGTCCATGTTTCCAGACAGGCGGCCCTGTAGCCATCTCCCCGCTTCTTCCTGACTTCACCACCCCATTTCTTTCCATCAGGGCACCCTGACAGCTCAGGGGAAGCTGCTTCAGCAGGACACGTTCTATGTGATCGAGCTGGATGCAGGCATGCAGTCCCGGACCAAGGAGAGGCGTGTGTTCCTCTTCGAGCAAATTGTCATCTTCAGTGAACTGCTCAGGAAGGGATCTCTCACCCCAGGCTACATGTTCAAAAGGAGCATCAAGGTGAGGATCCCAGTGGGGATGACAAAGGACAAGGAAGAGCCAAAGTGGGGGAGCTTCCCTGTAAGACGGGCACTGGGATGAGAGAGGATTTGGAACCTCGAAGATCTTTCAGCTGAATAACCTTCAGGCATGAAGGTTGAATATCTGTGAGAAAGGCTGAGGGCAGATCCTGCAGGCTCTCCAGGGTCATGTCTTTCACTCAAAGATAGAAACCAAAGTATTTAGCTATTAGATTCAGGGAAAAGTTTTGGAAACAACTCCTGAAATAAAACCTTTGAAGAACTAGAAAATGTTGTTGATTTTTTTTTAAAAACCACTTAAATGTGAAAAGGAAAATTTGGTTTCTTCCAGATGAATTACTTGGTCCTGGAGGAGAACGTGGACAATGACCCCTGCAAGTTTGCACTGATGAACAGGGAAACTTCTGAGAGGGTCATTCTGCAGGCTGCCAATGCTGACATCCAGCAGGCCTGGGTCCAAGACATCAGTCAAGTCTTAGAAACACAGCGAGACTTCTTGAATGGTGGGTACTGGGCCTGGCTTCTAGCAGCGCCATTTTCAAGGGACCCCACACCTCTGAGCTTCCTTGGGTCTAGGCTCATAGTGAGTTATGAGCCCAGATCACAATTTATATGGACTCCAAATCTGTGGTTTTCAGGTACTTTGTTTAGAATTTTTTTGAACCTGAATATGCAGGTAGAAAATGGATCGTGATAAGCCCCATCTTTCCAAAAGAAGAGGTGCTCTCTTATAGCCTAAACATAGGGTATATGCCTTGTGGCCACCACTGCCAACTGGCAATAATTGGGGCAGAAGGCTGAGATGGCACATCCTCTTTGTTTTGGGGGCCAGCTCTCGGTGATACACATTTTCCCACTTGGTGGCTAACAGCTGGTACCCTTGCAGGTTCCCTGGTGTTATCTGGAGATAACTGGGGGGTTGGCAGATCGCTTCAAATCTCCCCTCTTCTCTCAACAGTGTGAAAGCCTGGATAAGTCATTGGGAAAGTGCTTGATGGGCAGAAGGTGACAGTGATGTGTGTTCCCTATTTATAACAAAGTAGCAGTTATGTAGGCAATTCTGCCTTTTGCATGGTTTGAAGATACTAAAACTTTATCAGCAAACAAAAGACCTGTTCTTCTTGTCTTGAATCATGATCCAGAAAACCCCAAGTCTTTGGTTCTTTTTTTTTCTGACATAGCTCCCTTGTATTCCAGGAGGTGAAACAGGAGATAAATCAGAGGCTGACGCTGAGCGACTTCCTTATCAAGCCCATTCAGAGAATAACAAAATATCAGTTGCTCCTCAAGGTAAGAGCTGTGAGCTTGGGTCGGGGCTGGAGAAGGGTCTCTTCAGGCTCTGGGTTAGTGAGCGGTCAGCTTGAGTTTCTTCCTCCACCGCATTCTTCCTGGGAGCCAGGGGCGTGTATGGGCTTCTGTCTTGTCTCTGGGTTACTTCTGTCAACCCTGCCCCCCTGCAAATTGCACACCTATTGTTGCTGCCTTTAAGGTTAGTTGCTATTTCATTTTCTCTTTTTCAATTCACTTACTTTATCACATCACTGACTTAGTCCCTTTGAAAAGTAAAAGAAAATAAGAGCATAAAAGCAGAGTGGATGACAAGGAGAATGCCGAGGCAAGGCAAAGCCCTAGAAAACTTTAAATGAGTAATAACTAAAATTTGATCGTATTTTACTTTTCTAAAATGGTTCATTTGATTTGTCTTACAGAAATATGAGGTAACTGGAAGCGAGAGATGGAACTCTCCTTTCTCCCACCCGTTCTTGTCAGAATCCCCCACCCCCACCCCGGCTTCCCTGTTCACACCCCCTCTCCCCTCCCTCCCCTCTTTTCCCACAGCTCTGAAGCTTTGACTATTCTGGGGATTCTGTCCATGTTATTATGTCCAGTATGACTCATAACTCCATATCTCAGCCCCTGCACAGCATCGCCATCTCTGTTGGGAAGGAAAGTCTTCTGGGTGTCATCACAGCTTTTATGATGTTAGGTTTTTTATAGCTCTGTTTTCTAACCGATCTCGCCCTTCCCACCCCCTTCCCTTCTTTCCCACTGGCTAGGACTTCCTGAGATACAGCGAGAAGGCTGCTTTGGAATGTTCAGATATCGAGGTGAGTTTTCTGCTTGTAATGCTGGCTGGTCTCAGGGATGGTACTGGATGTCTGTCTCTGGCGGAGAAAAATGGGCTCTGAAAACCGAGGGTCCGAGCTGAGAGCACCTTCCAAACAGCTGCTCAGCAGGATGAGAAACAGCAAGTGTTGATGCACACAGCGAGTGCTTTTCTAGAACTTGAGACTTCTGTCCTGGGCCAGACCAGAGCGCAGCCCCGTGGCATTCTCCTTGTGGCTCCCAGGGACATGTGGTGGGAAAGGGAGCCCACTAGCGTCCCTCAGAGGTTGGGTGTTTCAGTGCGCAAGTTGTATCCATGCTTCCAGGTCCTATTTGAGTCTCACATACAAAGTATCCCATTTTCACTCCCTCCCCCACCCCCAAGGATTACTTCCTAGGTGAAGTCCTTTGAGACAATGTCACCATGGAGATTATTTTAAGCCACAGAAGTTACAGACCATTCTGGCAGGTTATTTTAAGTTAAAACCTCTAGCGTTTCACAAGCCCGGCTCAGCTATTGCTTGGGCAGCAAAGAAGCAACCGAGAGAAGAAAGAAAATACAAGATGGAAAGGGAATTAGTAAACAAAAGTGGGGAGGTAGGAAAAGGACTGGTTGGCCAGCATTCTCCCCATGCATGGCCTGATTCTCAGGGAGCCCTGCATTGATGGCTAATACCCCTCAATGTAGAACAGAAAATCCCATGGCCGTCTGAGAGTGGGCAGCAGGGACCAGCATCCTTTCCTAGAATCAAGGAGCTACCAGCAGATCCCCATCTTGCAGGACGGAATTGCCTCGAGCTTCCTGCCTGAGTGCTCTTCACCCTCATGAGCTGCTATTGTTCTTTCCCACAGAAAGCAGTGGAGTTAATGTGCCTTGTTCCAAAACGCTGCAATGACATGATGAATCTGGGACGCCTGCAGGGCTTTGAGGTGAGCCCTTAAGAACGCTTCTAAGCCCCTCTTCTGGACAGCAGGAGCCCAGGCTATGAGGCAGCTTTCCCTTGGAACCTTGTGCCCGCCTCCTCTGCTTCCTTTACTCGCCATCTGTGCCTTTGTGCCGGGGCCCCTCTAGTTTACAGGCCTGGAAGATGCATCTGTTTAGGATGATAAGTGATGAGACAGTCCTAGGAAGCTACATAGCAGTTAACCAAGCTGGAGTCAGAATTCCAAGGGGTTTGGAAAGACCCCAAATTCTTTATAACTGTGCACATGTCAATGGCCTCTTCCTTTTTCTTTTGTGCCTGAGAAATGCTGGGAATGTGAGGGAGAACAGGACTCTGTGATGGAAGTAGAACCAGAGGGAAAATTAAACAATTTTTTTTTTGAAAGGGTAGTTCTAATAAGCAGGTCTATACAGTGGCTGGATTTTTAGTTAAATGTACATTTAAGGCTTTAAAACATCACAGTGCCCATTTCTTTTCTTTGAAGAAGAGAATCAAGTCTTAGGAGAAACAGCTGCATGTCTCAGGATTTTGGTTTGAGTGAATGTACTAGTTTGCTAAGGCTGCTGTAAAAAGCACCACAGACTGAGTGGCTTACACAACAGTATTTGTTATCTTACGTTTCTAGAGGCTGAAAGTCCAAATCCAAGTATAGGCCAGGGTGGTTTCTTCCGAGAGCTGTGAGGGAAGGGACTGTTCAGACCTCTCTCATTGGCCTGTCCATGCTGTCCTCAAGGTCACATGGCATTCTTCATCCATCTTCACACTGTCATCCCTCTGTGCATATCTCTGTGTCCAAATTTCCCCTATTTTATAAGGACACCAGCCATGTTTGATTAGAGCTTGCCCTAATGACCTCACCTTAATTTGATTCCCCCTATAAGACCCTATATCCCAATAATGTCACATTCTGAGGTACTGGGAGTTAGGAATTGGACGAGGGAGGCAGTTCAACCCTAACAGCGAACCTTTGAAAAACAAATTGACTTTCCTAATTTAAACTTTATAGGTGGTTGCTATTAGTTTATATCCAAACTTCATATATTAACTCTATATAATTTGTTTTGAATATTAACATGATAAAATTTATGCTGACATAATTATTGACTGGTACTTAATAGTTGAACCCCTTAGGAAAAGATGATGATCTTCTAATCCTGTTTGCTGATAATTCTGCAACCTAAGATTCCATTATTCCTTTCTGGAGAAAAGGGATTCCTGGAAATTGAGAAAATAGAAAGTAATAGCTTTTATTTTTTGGCTGGATTGCAATAGATAGAGTGGAATAGAATAGAATAGAATAGAATAGAATAGAATAGAATAGAATAGAATAGAATAGAATAGAATAGAATAGAATAGAATAGAAAAGATAAGATATAAGGCTGACTGGTATATAAGTAAATTTAGGATATCATATAATCAGGTTTGGGTTAATGAGTTGGATTCATGATTGTGGGCCAAATTCTCCTGTCTTCCCTGTCCTTCCAGCCCATTCTGGGTCTCTATCTGATTTCTATTCCTTTGTTTGGACCAAGAACTATGTAGAGGGTCTTTGCTGTTCATTTTTTGCATATACCCAGTTTTCCACAGCAGACTCGAGGCATTAGGATAATCAGGGATATGCAGCAGAAATGTACCCTGGGTCCTTACATGGTTTTTCTTTATTGTACTGGGTGAAGTTTTACACTTTTTTGCTTGGAGTTGTGCCAGGTACAAGGCTATTCTGAACAAAACAAACGGTAATTTCTGCTGCTTTTAAGCTGCAGTGTTTCTGTGTTTTCTGAGCAGGAGTCTGACTGGACTCTGGGTTTCTGGAGGAACTGGCCACCGGTCAGAGGAGCGGCACCTGATCGTGCTGTCTGATCACAGGAGCTGTGCTGTACCTGTGCCCGTGTGTCCACAGAAGGCACACACACGGGTGTGGAATTACTTTCTCCTTTAAATCAAGCACCACCATCTCCTTTTTTCAGCAAGATCCAAAGAATCTGCTTGGTGTTCCTTCAGCTAAATCGGGAAGATCCCTGAATACACTGCCACTCCTTCTGAAGTCCAGAGCTCTGGGCCAGGGAGAAGTCAGCCCCCTCACTTCAGTTCTCTCCCTTTTAAATCCCTAGCTTTCCTTTTAGCGTCAGCGGGGCTCTAACTTTCAGGTCAGGCTCTTATGTAATATTAAGAAAGCTTTTAGAGCTTTCCTGGCTAGCTAGTCACTGGCTTAATATTAACTTTGGACGAGGGCAGAGATAAGCCTGTTTAGCTGCTGACCTTGACAGTCAGAGCCTTAATCCAAGCAAAGTACAGGTGTTTCTCAAGAACAGGAAAGAAAAATGACCTGTGCATGGGGTAATGTTTGGAATAAGGCATCATGTACAGAGAATGGCCCACATTTGCACTAAAGGACAAAAGTGGTCACCCGGGAGAGTATATAGTTCAGAGGAGGCTCTCTGGCTGCTATCCCAGATGGCAGCTCATTTTTGTTGTGGAATAGTAAGAAAAGTGATGCTCTCCATTAGCATCTGTGAAGACATGGTGGATTGGGCCACACTCCCTTTGAAGATGTGAAGGTGTCTCTGAATAGAAACTGGCAAGCCAAACAGGTTTACCCCCTAAGCCTGATGCCAAGTGGCCCGGGTAGCTGGAGGCATTTTAAGAAGGATCACAGGACCCAGAAAAATAGCTATCAGCTTATAAAATATGAGGCACCTCTCTGTAGTACCCCAGCTTTGCCTGTTGATCTGTAACAGGAGACTAAGTCTTCAGAATTTCCCCATCCTGAAATAAAAGGAGGAGAAGAGAGAAGCTGAACTTGTCAGGTTATTTCTGGTCCTGCCTACATCACTTCTCTTGTACACCACAAGTTGGTTCTAGGTTCATGGCCATGAGGGTGCCCCAGGTCCTTGGTCCATGCTGTCAGGGACCTAGGCGGGCACATTTCTCAGAGCTCTCATGACAGAAAGCCCACTTCTAGCTCCAAGTGTCACCTACTTTCTGTTCTCCTTTTAATAGAAGTAAGAAGGACCAAGATAATTCCTGAATGTCTTTTTAGCTCATAATGTTACCTTCTTTGCTTCTGGCATCTTCTTGGAGCTGCCTTTTAGTGGTTCCATAGCCTTCTTTCCCTTTCCCCCCAGGGCCCTCATGTCTGTCCTAGATGACTAGTGGCTCCTAATTCATTCTCTGACTAGAGCCCGAGGCTTGGGCTGGCGGGTGTGCTGTCCATGTTTCCAGACAGGCGGCCCTGTAGCCATCTCCCCGCTTCTTCCTGACTTCACCACCCCATTTCTTTCCATCAGGGCACCCTGACAGCTCAGGGGAAGCTGCTTCAGCAGGACACGTTCTATGTGATCGAGCTGGATGCAGGCATGCAGTCCCGGACCAAGGAGAGGCGTGTGTTCCTCTTCGAGCAAATTGTCATCTTCAGTGAACTGCTCAGGAAGGGATCTCTCACCCCAGGCTACATGTTCAAAAGGAGCATCAAGGTGAGGATCCCAGTGGGGATGACAAAGGACAAGGAAGAGCCAAAGTGGGGGAGCTTCCCTGTAAGACGGGCACTGGGATGAGAGAGGATTTGGAACCTCGAAGATCTTTCAGCTGAATAACCTTCAGGCATGAAGGTTGAATATCTGTGAGAAAGGCTGAGGGCAGATCCTGCAGGCTCTCCAGGGTCATGTCTTTCACTCAAAGATAGAAACCAAAGTATTTAGCTATTAGATTCAGGGAAAAGTTTTGGAAACAACTCCTGAAATAAAACCTTTGAAGAACTAGAAAATGTTGTTGATTTTTTTTAAAAAACCACTTAAATGTGAAAAGGAAAATTTGGTTTCTTCCAGATGAATTACTTGGTCCTGGAGGAGAACGTGGACAATGACCCCTGCAAGTTTGCACTGATGAACAGGGAAACTTCTGAGAGGGTCATTCTGCAGGCTGCCAATGCTGACATCCAGCAGGCCTGGGTCCAAGACATCAGTCAAGTCTTAGAAACACAGCGAGACTTCTTGAATGGTGGGTACTGGGCCTGGCTTCTAGCAGCACCATTTTCAAGGGACCCCACACCTCTGAGCTTCCTTGGGTCTAGGCTCATAGTGAGTTATGAGCCCAGATCACAATTTATATGGACTCCAAATCTGTGGTTTTCAGGTACTTTGTTTAGAATTTTTTTGAACCTGAATATGCAGGTAGAAAATGGATCGTGATAAGCCCCATCTTTCCAAAAGAAGAGGTGCTCTCTTATAGCCTAAACATAGGGTATATGCCTTGTGGCCACCACTGCCAACTGGCAATAATTGGGGCAGAAGGCTGAGATGGCACATCCTCTTTGTCTTGGGGGCCAGCTCTCGGTGATACACATTTTCCCACTTGGTGGCTAACAGCTGGTACCCTTGCAGGTTCCCTGGTGTTATCTGGAGATAACTGGGGGGTTGGCAGATCGCTTCAAATCTCCCCTCTTCTCTCAACAGTGTGAAAGCCTGGATAAGTCATCTTGCTAACCAGCCTTGCACCATTCAAATGAGAGGTGATCACTAACTCTAAATTTCAGTTATACCTTGAAACTTCACAGAACAAATGGATGACTAGGCAGACAATGAGGTTCTCCATGGACCACCGCCCACCCCCAGTCCCTCACAGGTGGCAGGAATCAAAATGAAGTGGCATTGCTACCTTGTTTGCATTTCTTTATTTTTTTTTCCCCTGCTGGGATTTTCTTCGCATCAAACTTGGCATGTAAAAAGAGGCACACAGGTTTACACTAGTGTTGATCTCTTGAGTTGATAAGCTTAGAAATCTCTCTGAGCAGAAATGGAGATTGAAGTTGAAGGCAAAATGTAACCAGCAATGAAGTAAACCTGCAGACTCAGTAAAGCATGTGCCTGTGTGTACATACATGCGCACACATGTGCACACGGGCCCACCCTCAGATATGTCACCTCTTCTTTCCAGTATTAGAAGCTGGACTCCTTTCAGATAATCCAGTTAAGAGCACTTACTGGACATCTAGCTTGGCCGTGAATGTGAACAGGAAAGGTTACAGATGGCATGCTAGTTGAGGATCTTGGGCAGGGGTTGACACTCTCTGGGCCTCGGTTGGCTCATTTTGTGACAAGGACAACTGTCTCCTCTGTCCACACTGGCGTGTGCCATGGTTATATCAGCAGTTCTGGCCCACCTCCCTACAACATCAGTGTTACTCCGCAGTAAGGGATTTAACACACTGTTTATTTTAAAACAAAGATGATGAAATTGTATACCAAGGTGCACAACTTTTTAAGATAAAAACATGAGACTCCAGAGCAATTACACAAAATGAGTATTTGGAGGTCATGCCCCCTGCCCCACCAACTGTGAAACAATTTGGGGGAAAAAACTAAGTGATCTCTAGGGCTCTTCCTCATTCTAAAAAGTCTAAAATTAAACACCAGCCCAGTGCTGAGGGGGAGTAATGAAAATAATATATAGTTTACAGTTTCTGAATGCACACCTTTGAATTAAAGCTTCTGTTGATAAATAATTTTACATACCAAAAATGTGCACACACGAAATACTTTTATTAAATTGCATTCTGACAGGAATTTCTGATAGATTCTAAGCTGGAATGAAGTTCTAAAGTTCATCAATGCAGTTCAAAAGAAAAAGAAGGTAGGACAATAAATTGAAACCAGAAATAATGGAAGTAACAATAATTGTTCCCATATATTGAGCCCTTTTTCTGTGCTGGGCCTGATGCCAAGTTTGTGTTCAAAGAGGTAATAAAATTTGTCCAACATCATGAAAAGTCAAGGATAGAACAAGGACTTGAACCCAGAACTGTAAACCCTTAAAATTAGGCTCCTAACTACAAAACTGCAATACAGTCGCGAGTAGGAGTGCCTGCATTTATCTACGAGGTCCCTAGCGAACAAAACAAGAGAAGAACCAGGATCAGGCATAAGACTGCATTCACCAGCCAGAAACAAGTCCTGTCAGAAGGTGCACAGCTTTCCTGATCCTGAAGCCTCAGTTATGTGCACTGAGACTGGTGGGAAAACCAAGGCTCTCTATGTGACTTATTTTAAAAGATACTATTTTCAAACACTTTAGCACAGTTATATGTATAATCAAGTAATACCCCAATTCCACATGATACATATTGATTCATAAAATCAGTGTGGTAAGGCCTGCTTCACAATTCTGCCACACTTTTATATGGGTTCCAAGAGACCTTTCTCCTAGTGATAGTGAATTACGGCGATATTACCAAACTAGATTATCAATACCTCCATATTTAATGCTTAGAGGCCACTCTCCAGGAAGAAAGGCTGAACTCTGGCAGAAGCCTGTTCTATACTTTGACATGCTCCAGAGACAAGGATGTGACAATGGAACAGGGCCAGCCTTTCACTTATAGAGACAAGTGCAGGTATCTCAGAGCCAATTTTTCCCTCTTGAGACCACATATAAAAAGGAAGTGTGACCCTATTTGAATCCTATTGAAGTGCATACCTATCACTGTAGAAATATCCTTATATGAAAGTTCTCTGGGCCCCAGCTGTTAATACACTTAAATATTTGCTACAGTGAATACTGATAAGAATGACAAAACCAGGCCAGCCCTTGAGGTCATTCTGACAGAATTTGACCTGTATGGCTCTTGCCTGGCTGTACCCCTTCAGTACTCAGACTTTGGAACTTTGTTATGTTAAACCTAGTAAAACAGAGCTCACATCTTTCCCTTCAAATCAGGTTTTCCTCTGTCTCCTGAGTTCCACAGGCTAACATTCTAATCAGAGGGACCCTCAGTCCTTGCCTGCTTTGCCCACCTGGCCTGTGTCAGGGTCTAGTCTCCCCTGGCAACACTTGCCACCCCATATCTGTCCCACATGCCCACTGGCTCTTCTCTGGTTAGACTTCTTGATTGGTACTGATTCCTGGCTTCTGAATCAGCCTTTCCAATCCCTCCTTCCAACTGCTACAGAGTCAGTGTCCTCCAAGGGTGGCTCTGGTGATAGAATCTGAATTTGAAATGTTCATTTAATCCAATCAGGTTTCATGATCTTCAGGATTCAGTCCAGACTCATTAGCCTGGCTCTCTAGGTCTTTCACACCATGGCACTTCCAACCTCCTTTCCCTATCTGCTGTCCTCTTCCTCCACGGAACCAATGGCCCCTGTTCCAGGTAACCTGACTCCATCCTGTTCCCCAGACACACTTCACACTTGTTTACCTCCTGCAGAATCTGAATGTGAGAGGCTGGCAGCCAGCCCTCTCCTGAAGCCCTTTCTAACCTTTCTCACCACCTGTACGTAACATGTACACAAAACACAGGACCTCTCTCCCTCCTTTTGCACACTACTTCATACCTCACGTATGGCAGCATTTTGTTTTTATATCTTCATTATTCAAGTAGCTTTCTTAGTTCTCACAATAGATTATAAATTCCTTAAAAATGAGGGTAGTGTCTTCCCTATGTACCACGATTATACCTGGCACAAAGCCTGTATCTGTTAAGCCTCCAAATCTTTAAGGTATTCCCAAAGCTTAGAGTAACTCTCTGCTCTTACCCTACAGCACTACAGTCGCCCATTGAGTATCAGCGGAAAGAAAGGACCACGGCCGTGATGAGGCCCCAGGTGGCTAGGGGACCCCAAGCCAGTCCCAGGCCCTACTCTTCTGTCCCCATGGGTTCTGAGAAACCCCCAAAGGGCTCCAGCTATAACCCGCCTCTGCCACCCGTGAAGATATCTACCTCCAATGGCAGCCCAGGGTTTGACTATCACCAGCCTGGGGACAAGTTCGAGGCCAACAAGGTGAGTGACAGCCCATCACTCCCTCCCTCACCACTCTGAGGGCATAGCCTCAGGGCTCACTTTAAGAAGTAGCATCTTTTTATGCTGATCATTTTAGCAGGAACAACCCACTAAATTGTTTCAGTTATTTGTCTCAATTATTTCTCTTTCTTCTCTGCAAAGTGAGTGAACTAAACCAGTTCCCGCTGCTCAGATAGTATGTTAGAGGGCTGTTGTCATCTGCAGAAACTCTATACAAATATAAGGTAATATTGTAGCAGCAATTATGACTTACACCAAATAGAGTAGTTGTGGTGTGGATCCTCTAAAAGTCACAGTTCTAGTGTTTGACGTCTTAAAGAGATGGCCTTTCCAACACTGAATGCTGAAGTAACTAGTATTTCTTCACGATTCATTGACTGATGTGGCACGAAGCAGTTGCGCATCTCTGTGTGAATGCGAGAAGCCAGCCTTGAATTAAACGTTTTTCAGAGGTAATCCACAGTTCAAACATCACCATGAGGACAGTCATAGAATTAACTATAGACCCAGTCTACATAGCTGTTTTGACCCTGCAAGGCAGTAGGAATAAGAATAAATGGGAAAGGTGGTAGGCTAGGAATCAAGCAATCTGCTTTCCATTCCAAATTCTATAATTTGCTTGCTCTAGAACCTTAGCAAGTTAGTTAAACTTATTAGGACTCAGTTCCCTCTGGAACTCGACATGTCTTTGAACATCTACATTTTTCACTTACATGTTCCAATTTTATAGTTTTTTCTTTTTCCTCAAATCATTAGATGATACTGAGTTTTTAAAAATTAACTATAATGTCCAAGTTCAATGTTGTATTAGAAAACTATACCAACCTATTTCACCACATTACTCAGAAATGACTTTTTATCTTAAAAGCCCCTTGCCTGTGCAGATTAGTTGATGTCACATTGGCATTTTGTCAGACTTAACTAAAGAATTTCTGGCTCTCAGCACACTCTCTAAGGCAGCCAGGCCTCCCTCGGAGTTAGAGGTCTGTCTAGAGGCGTCTTCCCTGGTACATAGTCATGTGGAAAAGCCACGGAGGCAGGACCTCTGTAATAATGAGCTCAAGGTGGGGCTGGAGGAGTTCTCTCCCTGCAGGAGGTGGGTCAGGGTAGGTCACAGCCTTGCTTCTGAATTGGGCAAAGGTCTCATTGTTACTCCTATCTCAAGAAAGGTCAGAGTGTTGAAAGATCTGTGTTCTTTCCACTAGGAGCTTATGACCCCTGGCCTGACTTTGGCCCTGACCTCACTCTGCCCAGGTGTTTATGTAGCCCTGTGCCTGTGGCACACTTTTTTCCTATTGGTCAGAGGATGCTGGCCCAAAGGTCACATGCTCCAGAGGGGATTTCAGGTGGAAGGTGTGTTTATACCTTTACCAAGACTGGACCGTATCTCTGCCTATTCACCTTTGACTATAATATTGTATGAGACATTGCTATAGAATATACCTTGTCAGAGCACATCCATGAATATAATTTAATCACTTAAGATAATCTTCTGCCTGCTATTTAGCCTGCTAATGGGAGGTTTGGCTTTTAGCCACACAGTAGAATCTAGAGCAAGCCCATGTGAACCAGCCTTCTCGTGTCTGTGTCCCTCTTGCCTTTGCCTCCTAGCAGAGTGACCTGGGAGGCTGCAACGGGACCTCATCCATGGCTGTGATCAAAGATTACTATGCACTGAAGGAGAATGAAATCTGTGTGAGCCAAGGTGAGGTGGTCCAGGTCCTCGCCGTCAACCAGCAGAACATGTGCCTGGTGTACCAGCCTGCCAGCGACCACTCCCCTGCAGCTGAGGGCTGGGTCCCGGGCAGCATCCTGGCTCCCCCCACCAAAGCCACGACGGCGGCAGAAAACAGTGACGGGAGCATCAAGTAAGTGCTTCCCCGGGAGAGGAGTATGTGGATTAAAAAAATTCAAAACCAAACAAAGAACACAAAAATGCAAACACCCGGTAGGGAGTTATTGCCGCTTATTCTCAACAGTGCGCCCGGCACCAGTGTCTGAGGGATGGAACCGCACACGGCATGGGGCACACAGGCTGGACTGTTCTCATTTTTTTTTTGTTGGTGGTAGTGGCAGTGGTTTTTCTTTCCTTTTCGTTTATAATTTTCTGTTCATTTTTTTCTCCCCCCATTAAGAAAAGAACCCTACTGAAACCCTAGATGACAAAAGGCACGCCTCCCGTTGCTCCATTTGATCCACCGCAGGATTCACTGGACTGGACTTCTATTTATACTGTATTAAGTTACTGATATATTTTTTTTTGATTGACACCAAAAAATTACCTTAGCACAAATGCCAGACCTGCATGGGTCTGAGGCCTGCTGCTCCTCCCAGGAGAAAGGGAATTTTTTGGTTGTCTGTGGCAGTTCCTCTGTACAGATTGTAACTTTTTTTTTTAATTTTCCCCTCTCCCCTGTCACTTTAATATATGTTCATGGTAATTTGTAAGATACTTCTTTTCTTTATTTTGGTTGCAAAGACCCTTCCAAACACATTCCTGTATAAAGTATTTTGCACTATTTAAAGAAACCCATATGGATGAAGTCAGGTTGTGCAATATAATGGAGAGTCACAATGTTCATCATTGTACCTGTAATGTAACTAATAATTTTAAATGTACTATTTTAAATATGTAAAATAAATTTTCACCATGAGCATGTTTTAATGAGGTTAAAGACTAGTTGACCCTTTTTCCCCCATTTCACTATTCTGGGACTTTTAAATGTGAAAATGACTTTTTTTTTTCTTTTCTGTATTTTAGCAATTGGTTGAATGTATTGGTAGTTTTTTCCTACACAAAAAGTGCCTTTGTGGCTAGAACTCCAACCCTACCCTTCCCTTCTAAGCAGTCCCTATTGGTTTTCTATAACCTCTGAGATGAAGAATGATACAGACTGAATGCTGTCCAACTGCGCAACCTCGAGGTGCTAACGTAAATTAAGGCCTTGAGTAGAACGCAGCACTTGGCTTGGGGCCCCACTGTTTTCTGCGCCCTGTGGTCACCCATGGCAGAGGTGGGAGGAGTTCCTGTGAGACATCTGAGCAGAGGCACCAGACAAAACTGGCTCACTGGGCCCTCGCTCTAGCTCGTGGAGTAGAGGCTGCTGGTCTCACCCTGGCCGTTCTAGGTAGCCACAGGCCCAGCTGGAAATCAGTAGTGGCCTCTAAGGTGTGATAGGCCCAATTCAGCTTATTCTAAAGACATTTGGTTTGGGTACCTTTTAAGAAGCCTTAAGAATAAAGGCCCTCAAAGCATTAAAGCTCTTACTAGTCATGGCCTTACAGAGCCACTCGTAACCATCTGTGATTAATTGTCCAGGCCTCAGCACCTCTTCCTTCTCACACGTTCCACGGGAGGGCAGGTAGGAGGGACGTCATGCTGGGTGGAAGCGAACAGATTCGAATACAAATTGGTCATTTTGGTTCCTTGTCAGCTGCTCTGTCACAGGAGTGGGTGGGAGGTGGAACAGAGCAACTGACTAGAAGTGGTTGTCACTGTTTATCAGGGAAGGCGCTCACCACACCCTCCCCGGGGCCTGCTATGACCTGATGGGTCAGAGTTGGTTGGGATGCCTAAAGGATGAATGTCACTGAAACCCTGTTTCCACGTCAGTTCCTGGGCTTGTGGCCAAGAGATGGAAGCTCCCCAGACCATGATGATGATGATGACGACGTCTTCTGGGAAGAATATGAAATCGAGTCTGTCCTGCCACTTCCACTAGTCTGAGTCTTCCTTCCGAACATTGCTTGTAACATTTCTAGCTCCTCATCAAGCATACAGAATGACCCAGAGGGTTGTGGTTAACATAGGAAAACATCCCCACGCTCACGTAGGCACAGGCAGTGCTGTCTGCGCTGGGAGTCCCTTTGGCAGGGAGCTCCCGGCCTCAAGATGCTCTCAGAATGGGCCAGAGATGTGGATTTGGGGGTAAAGATATGAGGTGAAAGTCTCCAGTTAACAGAGTGATATTATTCAGGTTAGTTTCCATGACTGTTCTCACTCATTACAGAGCAGCTGGGGTGAGGAGCTGGTTACAGGGATTCTAGAGAGCCTGCCTATCGAGGAGGTGCAAGAGAGGGTCTGGCCAGGGATTCTTGCCTTTTGAAGGATCTCACACTCCCAAAAATTTGAGAACATGACTATTACTGCTCTTTCCTATTACTGCAATTTCCTATTGTTGAGCATGTGTGTTAGTGATAAATATTTTGGGAACCCCTTCCTCAGGACAACCCCAAATTCCTGACCTATGGGAAGTTTTGTGGGAGAAATGCTCTACATTTTGGAGCAGCCACCTTCCGTCTACATCTCATATGCCTCTCTCTCTCCTCTCTCCCTTAATAGAGCCTCTTTTCATTAAGCCCTATCTGCACAGGCCTAAATATGACAAGGAGACATGGAAGGAAAGTCAACCTCACTTATTCCAGACAATGATTGAACCTTATCCAGACCACCCCTGAAAATGATGCTGCTCACCTGGGGTCCCTGGTGCTGTCTGTGACTGGGCTTTTGCTCCTTGTCTCTGAGCCCTGACATGCATGGAACTCAAGAGCTCTGCCTTGAGCTTCTTTTTACAAGTCTGTGAAGAAGTCTCTCCCAACCCCCTCGTGGGAAGAAAGAGTTAGGATAGTGGGAAAGGGCATTTTGGCCCTCACTCCCCAAGAGCATGTATTGGGCTTTCTCCCTACGGGAACACTCCAGCACCTCTTAGTGGTTGGCAGAGCCCTGTATTTACAGACACTGAGTCGTGTGGAGAACATAGACTGAGAAACCCTTTATCGTAAAATATCCAGATAAATGGGTGGCGCTCAACTGTTGATTAAGTCAAATGTCCCAGACAATCCTATCTATACTTCAGGGTTTGGGAGTGGCCACAACCCAAATACAAATAATGAGATGGAAATCTCAAAATGATCCTTTTGGGCCTTTCTAGCGAGTCTTGGGAAAGTACCAGTAGTTTATGCACTGTAGAATATATTTCCCTTACCTTTCCTGTTTTACTCTATACCACCTCCCCCATTCTCCCCCTTGTTCACCATACCCTGCAGGAAGTGAATTCCTCAGTCCCTTAATCAGTCTGATATAGAAATTTCCCTTGGTAGCATTTAATAACCCGGCACTCATTTTCCTCTAATGCTGCAGCCAACCTTGCACATCTATCAGGAGGGGGGGAAGTTCATCTGCACCCACTTGCAGTTGGAGGCGCGATCAGCTGCCAGCCACCACAGGAGCTGGCGGGCAGGTCTGGGGCCTCTGCGGCCCGGGCTTGGCTGGACCACCTCACCTCCTGACTCACCCAAGGGTGGCAAGCCCACCCACCGCCTCACTGTGCCCTGACCTGCCATTTTGATTGGTGCGTTTTTTGGTACAACAGGAAGTCATGTTCATGGCATACTCTACGCATGAGAAAGCGGGCGGAAATGGAGAACACGGGTAAAAATGAAGCCACAGGGCCTCGTAAACCCAAGGATATTCTGGGCAACAAAGTCTCTGTTAAAGTGAGTAAGGTATTCCGGAGCTGTGTCCTACCTCTCATCCACTCCCACCCCGCAGCATATTCACCAGGCAATTTGGGTGGATGGGGTTTTTTTTTTCCCCAGTGTGGGGACTGAGGGGAAGTAGTTTAGCAGGATTTTGCATGCAAGATCGATTTATTTTTATTTTTTATTTCACCTGGCAACTGCAAATAAGTAAGTACCTCTTTTTTATACCTATCTCTTTATACTGTGCAGATGTTTTATAGCAAAATTATCTGCAGCATTAGTCTCATAGAAATGCAAGATGCTTGAGTCATACCAAAGTTCTCAAGGCTGCCCATTCGATATCCTAGGTTGAAAAAACATGCAGGGTAAAGAGACTAGGAATGCTTTCCAAACCCTCAACCCTGTGAAGTCTGAGGTTTGGAATTTAAGGGCCACTGTGTCCTCGGTAAAGTTTCATTTCTTTTCCCCAGAATTCAGACAACATCACCTTCAGACCTCTGCAGGGGCAGGGAAGGGAGGCACATTGGTAAAGCCCAAGTTACTGCTTTGTAATAATCCACGTATTGCTATGAGCTCACTAAGTCTAAGCTTTGGCAGACCCTGTTGTCCCCCATCTTGAAACGGTGTGATGTGTTTTTGTCACACTTAGGCCTTCTGAAAACATCTGCCTCTGGACAACGGAAATTAGACTGCTGATACTTAATATTGTTACAATGTGTGATTAGCTCCTTGGGGCTTTGCTCCCTTCCTGAGCAAAAGAAGAGCGAGCAAAACCCATTGTAACATTCTTCTTGGGGAAAAGAAATTGTGTTCTCTCCTTCACGCTCATCTGGGAAGTCCAGCCTCACAGAAGATAGCAGTTAAATCCTACAGCACTCACGCTTCATTTGGTTGCTTCCATTGCTATTTCCCGTGAAATGAGCGGCTGTACATGGTCCCAGCCTACTCTCCCTGAAAGGAGCATGCCGCTGCCCCTGGGGATTCTCAACCTGACCTTAAAAAGCACGGTTTTTTTCTCTGCCCAGTTTCCCCTTGCCCACGGTTCTCTGAAGTGCTCCTGGCTCTCTAGCACAAGCTGCCTATGTTCTAACTGTGTTCTCTTTCTTCCCCCTTCCTCATGCTGCCCATCAAGGAGACGAACAGTTCCGAGGAGTCAGAGTGTGATGATCTTGACCCTAATACTAGCATGGAGGTAGAAGCAGCTATTGTTATCCTATTTCCTACAATTATTGTCTTTTTCAATGTGTGCTGTAACGGTGACCTTGCTAAAGTGACCAGCCGGTCAAGGATAGATTTGTGATGTTAGGGCATCTCTTGGTGGCCCAATTCAACTTAAAAAACAAAACAAAACAAAACTTAATTCAGCTCTATTTTGATAGATAGGGTTTTAAAAACAACAACTTCTGGTTCTCTTGAATGCTTGCTTAATATTTTCTTCTTTGGCGGGTTTGACTTTATGTAGAAAATATTTAACTTCATTACTGGAAACTTAGAACACATTTTTTCATGGAAAACAGCATGCTAAAGAGCAGTTGGTTCCCAGCTAACAGGCAAAACCCCATTTAGTGTGAGTTGCTGCCTCTTGTTTCTCCTTCCTCCCTTTTCCCTCTGTTTCCTTCCCCATTATCTTCATCATCTGGTTCTTCTACTGGCAACTGTTCCTCCCTCAAGGCTCCAGCAAAAGCATGAAGTAGGTGTGGTGCGGTGGGTGACCTGGCCCCTAGCCTCTGTGTGTAGCTGGCTGCAGCGATTGCAGCAACGCCACAACGCACCTTTATCCAGACCCAGGGCTCCCCAGGCGGTAGCCGTGCCCCCGGGAAGAGAAGCCTTGGGACTGGCCTCCCTCTGATAGCCTGAGCAGAGGCCCTCGAGAGATGGGACGCTGGAACACGGCCCCAGGGCCTTTCTCGCCCTCCGGGGCTCTGGGGATGGGGGGCGTGGGCCAGTACCTCCACCACCTAGAGCATCACATCAACTTCTAACCCCTTCTAGGCTAGAGATGATTCGTGGTTAGAGAAACACGACTTTTACATGACTTGCCACTGAGTGACAACCATCCCACATTTACAAACCGTGGCGAATCAGAGCTAAGCTGGAGCTGGCTATCCCTGCCATTTTGTCTTTCAGAGTAAATTGACATGTTTTTCTCCAAGCCTCTGCCCCCACCCCCATCATGGACAAAAGTTTAGAGATGTCCTTTTACAAAACAGAGTGTTTTTTTAAACCTTTTCATTATAGCCCAAGGTTTGCACCTAACTAGACAGACTTTTATTGTTCTTACTGTAATGTGATCCCAAAGAACTCCTACATCGTATTATGACAACCGCCACAGAGCCCGGGAAAGCCCATACTGCCCGAGGAGGCGTAAGTGAGCTGTGGAAGAGGTCCAGTGAGTCGAATCTGGTCAGAGACAAGTGGTTGAACCAGCAGTTCTGCCAGGATAAAATGACCCCCATGGATGTGGGTATTGCCGCAGAGCTAAATCTGGCAGGTGTGGGCCAACACAGCGCTCCACTGTGGGAGGAAGTGGGTACCCGGTCGCAGCCTAAAGTATCTTAGAGATGAGGAAACCGGGGAGATTTCTGCCTCTGCTTTCCTTGCATTTCATAGGATAGGCACCAGCTCCCATGAGGCCCACACCTGTCAGCTGGTAGATACCTGGGGGCCCCTTTAACCCCAGGCCAAACTGTTGCTGGCATGTATCAGAGATGTCACCTGCAAGGAGAAGAAGGCCAGGATCAGGGAGGGGAAAAGTCAGGTAGCTATGTTCCAGATTTGGGATCTTTTTCAGCACTAGTGGGCCAGGGTACTTCGAAGAGTAACTTTCCCACTCTGCTCTTCAAAAGAAGAGGTGGGCAAAGATGGCTGTGGGGCCATGTGAGCAGCACAAACTGAGGTCAGCTGATGTAGTCAGACGCTCCATTCTACATTTAGATAAGCAAAAGGCTCACACGCACACACATGCACATGTACACACACGTCTTAGCCTTGCTTTGTGAACTGAACACATTTCTAAGGTTCTTACTCATCCAACCTCTGCAGCCCTTTGCATAGGCTGAGGGAGGTGGGTCCTGGGGGAAGCCAGGGGTGCATAAGCAAAGCTACCAGAACGTTAATCTGAACAGAGGAAAGTCGGATGCTGTGTGGATGCTTGCCTGAAAAGGTTTCAAATGCAGTTGTTGAGGCAGAAATTTCACTTAACTGGCACTCTTGAGGGGGCATGTGGTTGGAAACTCTAAACATTCTGGTTAAATCCAAGATCTCTGTAATAGAGGTGCGTGCAGCCCAGGGCGATTCCCCATGGATCTTCTCGGCACCTGCGAGCTTCTCTGAACTGTATTGCCAGGTTGAAAGGCCTCTGAGCACATGAGCAAATGCAGGGAAGGCCAGCATCTCGGCCCTGCTCCTTTAGTATTTTCAGACACAAATAACAAGTAAGACATAGAAAGGCAGCCTGGTCAACACGAGTTGAGAATGTTCTTGCAAGATAGGTAAGTGGAACTTTATTACAGTGTCTATGACAGAAGCAGAAAAATGACCAGGCAGGCATACTAAAGAGAGCTGTCCCTTACAGACCCAGCTTGGGAAACAGGAGAGCGGGCCATCCCTCCAAGCCTCTTACTGCTATGTTGATGATTTGGGGTATCATTATCAGGCCCAGCCTGGTCTCCGATCTCACCCTTGTCTTCTGATCCTGGTGGTTATAATACGTATTGTCTCCTTGGGAGCATGTCCCTGTGCCCTCCTAAGCTGAATTGCAACTCCTGTGGCCTGTGCTATGAGCCCCTGTGCCTGGAACGCCAGCTGCCCCCCAGCCCGTGCAGCCTGTGTGTGGCTCCAGGCGCGGGCTCCGGATGCTCAGGCCTACCTGCTGATGACTAATGCTAGTACTGTGGTTGCAATCCTGGCTGTGTATAAGCTCTCACCCCTTCCTCCTCCCGCATGTCACTGCCACATTCTTTGCTTTTGCCCAATGGGTGGATTGAATGGTTCCTTTAAAGAGAAGTTTCCTGGGGTCTTTGCTTACACATCAGCTACTTGCTGCCCTCAGGGCTGGTATATGTCCCACCATACTGTTTTATGGAGATATATAGGCACATCCTGTAAAGCTAATTAGGAGAAAAATAAAGCACCTTGAATCCTAGGAATCTGATTTTCAAAGCTTTCTAAGAACACCCAATTATGTAAAAAGAGGCAATTCTCTGCTCTGATGTTTGCATCCTTTTTCTTCTGTGGTGGAGACACTCTTGTGACTATTCTCAAGGACAGCCTCCACTCCCAGCACACAGGCCCCACCACCACCACCACAAGGTTGGCACCAGGTCTATGCCATCCCCTCACAGCCTAGCACCCTTTTCTCCTGCTGATCCGTGATCAAACTTCAGTGAGAACTGTTCTAAAAATGGCAAGGGTCTGCCCAGAGCTCACCTTCCCTCTTTACCTTGCACTCATTACACCTCAGGAGTTGGAGTGGAGGGGGGTCTCATATATGACAGAAATGCTTCTGCAGGGAAGAAAAGTTAAATCAGGCTGGAAATCAAACGCTAGGCAGTCTTGGGAACAAGTTAGCGTTAATTCACTTTTTCCAGTACAGCTTAGCCTGCTGAGTGCTTTTCGCTGACAAGGAGCACAGAGGGGATGATGGGCTGGGGGGCGTGCCCACCCGCCAGCTTGTCAGTCCTGCCCCTTCTCAGTAGCTGTGCTGACACCAGGCTGGAGCCGGGCGTCAAGGGCTGAAGGTCAGCACCCACTGTCTGAGCCACCTCCTATCTCTGAGAAGTCTGGATCTTTTCTGAGCTGTACTGAATTTCTCTTAGGACCCAAGCTAGGCAGGTTGGTGTAGGTGGGGGAACAACAGCCAGGGAAAACTAGAAACTGTCTTCAGGGCACCCTCTCATTTTCAAACAGAAAGTTACAAGTTCCCCGTCTCAGTTTCCTCTTCTAAAAGTCTTCTGCTGAAGGGATGGAAAACAGGGACTTTCCACCTGCAGGGCAGAGTTTCAGTTTGGGATGCTGACAGATTTCTGGAAATGAATAGTGGTGACAGTTGCACAACACTGTGAAGGTATTTAAAGCCCGTTTATAAAGGTTAAAATGGTAAAAATTTTTGTTACATATATTTTACCACCTCTGAAAAGTTGTCTAAGGCGCGTGTGGAGACTTTTTGCACCTGTCCTCCACCCCAGCACTGCCACTTACCTATGTCACTCGCTGGAGTAGGAAGGCCTGAACCAGCCTCCCAGACTTGGGCCTTTGTCTTCAGGGATAAGGGCTCTCAGCTGGGCTTCTATGTCAAGCCCGATTAATTAAATACATCTTAAATTTTTAAAGAAGCCCAATGCCACTTTTAGCAGAGAAGGTCAGTCCATCAAAGTAAGAGGTTGTCATGACTCCAAAAGACTCCATCTCTGTCCCTGCCATTTACCACGGGGCTGGCCTCAACCACGGCACAGACTGAACGTGGCATTACCCTCGGGCGCTATGCCAGCCTCGAGGTATGCAGCTCAGGGGCTTATTATCTGCAGTAAGAACATGATTGGATCTTTTGGGAAAGGGCTCTGAGAGATGATGGAGAGAAATCACTTAGAAAGATGAAACTAATTTGGAAGGAAATTTTCAGTTAGGGAAAGAATCACAGATTTTCAAATTCGATGGAAGTTTGGAAGACTTTGCTTAATTCCTTCCTCTTCATTTGTTCATTTCTATTGTGATAAAATATACTACCTACCAAATGATAAGGCCCGTTCCTCTCTCCACCCTTCCAGCCCCTTAGGAGACTTTAGAAGAGCAAACCGAGGCAGAGGAAGTTGTAACTTTCAGTTCAAAGATGAGAAGGTGTCCTGAAGGCAGTTCCTGGTTTGGCCATCTCCCCCACCTCCACCGACCTGCTCCCCACTTGGAGCACCCCATCTCCAGGTTGTTTTTAATCTGAAACACATATCCTGGTAGACAAGACCTGCACTGATGCCAGTTTTGCTCTGTAAATTTGTTATCCAGTTTTCCAGCTCAGAACAAGGGAATATCATTTCTGCCCATGCCAGCTTGCCAAAGCTGAACCTGACCTGAACCTACCTGAACCTACCTGGCCTGAACCTGACCCTTCCTAGGACAGTACCTGAACCTCAGTGAGCAGACTTCATCCCATGTCACATGCTGAGTTTGGGCTCTCAACCTACTGCAGTCAGGACCTGC